TGCCTGCAGGGTGAGCCGGCGATCCTGGGGTCCTGGCAGGTGCGGGGGCAGGGGGACTATCCCGGGAGGCTCGGGTTTGGGTGGGGTGGGATGCTGTGCCCCCATGCCTGCCCGCCGGCCCTGGCTGCGGAGCAAGGGTCTGAGGGAGGACCGAGTGGCCCGGCGTGGGGTGGGGGCTGGCTCCAGGGCCGGCTACGGGGGGGCCCCTCGAGCCCCGTGTGGGTGCCCCCTGTGTGGGCGCCGCCCCGGAAGCCGGGCTGTGGTTTGGGGGTGGTCGGCTGGGCTGCTTCCCTGCAGAAGGGCACTTCCGGGTTGTGCTGGCCGGGCCGGTGCCCGGGGAAATGGCGCCCTCCCCGGGATGGGGGCTGGCGATGCGGGGCCGGACTGGGCCTTTAGTGCCGGGCAGTGGCTGCAGGCGCCGGGATGCCCCCGGGACTCTGGGCATGGCCCGGGGCTTCGGATTCCAGGTGGGGTGCCCTGCCCCCTGCCCTCTCTGTGGTCCGAGGGGACCCTGCAGCGTGGGGGGGGGATCAGGCCGGGCGAGAGGGGCAGAGCTGGGAGGGCTCCTGGCGGCCGGCCTGGGGCTCTGCTCTGCCATGGCCGGGGGTGGGGAGACGGAGGCCGGGCCACCTCGCTGCCCGGGGGGGAGAGGCAGGAAGGGACAGGCTGTCTCCCCAGCATCTCCCTGTCTCCTCTCACCCCCACCCGGCGGCCAAGCTCAGAGCCGTCCCTGCACTGTGTGATCTCGGCCTGTCCGGCCGCAGTGGCCCAGGAAGTCTGCGGGGAGAAGCTCGGAGTCAGCACTTGCCGGCTCGGGGACTTCCTGCAGACAGAGCCCGCGAGGGGAGGCTGGAAGGCTGCCCTCCTCCCCACGTGCCTTCCCCGCAGGACTGTCAGGGCTTTGCTTTGCGATGTGCTCAGGGGACCTCGATGGAGGAGGAGAGGGTTACCGTGGCCTGCCCGTGGCGGACACGGGCGAGGTGGCCACGCGTGACCGCTCGCGGTGCCGGCCCTGGCGGAACACACCTCGGGGGGCGCAGGGGCGGGGGGGAGCCTGGCTGCGGGGTGGGCAGCCTGGGTTGGAGGCTCAGTCCAGCTGCTGCCCGGTGTGGGACTCTGGCTGAGCAGGTTAGGGTGCCAGAGGGCTCCCCTGGCGGGGGGTCAGGGTGGCAGCCCTGGGGGTGCTGCAGGGCTGACGGGGCCCCAGCCTGCCTCGTTGTCTGCCTTTGCCTCCGGCTGGGCCCAGTGGCTGCCCTGTTGTCGGGGGGGGCTTGGGGTTACGCTTTCTCTCCCGTCAGCAGACCTGGGGGGCTTGGGGTGGGGCCAGCGCCCCCGGGAGTTCTCGCTGCCTCAGACCAACACCCCCACACACCCCTGACCCCAGTGGGTAGCGCTCCCTGGAGGCCTAACCGGGCACCACATGGGCTGTCAGCCATGCTGCTTGCCATGGCCCCAGGCAGCACCCCGAGGTGCTGACCACGCGTCTCCGCCCAGTGGCCAGATCGGTCTCAGGCAGAGCGGGGGCCTCACTGCCACCCTGATGATCCTGCCCTCTGACCCGGGTCCCGGGTGCTTGCGCAGCCCCAGCGCTCTGCCCACATCGCCCCATCGGGCCCGCTCAAAGCCCTGCGTGGTCGGTCAGGATGGGAAACTGAGGCACGGAGGTTGTGCAGCTTAGATACTGGGCGCCTAAGACTTGTTTTCTTTCTAAAACAATTTAATGCATTTTTATGTTTCCACACATCGATGCATACATGTGCCCCCTCGCATCAACAAACATGCTAAGCACACACCTTTCCATGTCAGCATACTAACCGTACAGCCACGTTAGTCACCAACCGCCTTATATTGTCCCTTTTATTGTCTATTTATTTAAAAAACCACTCTATTGAGATATGGTTGACATACCCAACGCTGTACTTTTCCCTTTAAATTGCCCTGACCGGGTATCGAACCTCTGACCTCTTGGTGCATGGGTTGACGATCAACCGAGCACTCACCCACCCTGGCTGGGCTGTCCGTTTTTAAGGTACACGGCTTCCTGAGTTGGGATAAGTATACATACACCTGTGAAACCATCACCCACGTGTAGGCCACCATCCGTTCATCACCTCCAAAGGTTCCTTTTCCTCCATCTGTGGTTATTTTCCCGGCAACACGATCTGCCCTCTGAGAAAAACACGTGAGCGACCGCAGTGCTGTGTCGTTAACTGTGGGGCAGGATGCACACAGTAGGTCCTGGTTTTCCGGTGAAAACCCTTTAAAAATGGCACGAGCTACATGACAACACGAGAAACAGGAGCTGAGCGCCGGGAGGGACGTTGTTTCCCGGTCCTGGTCCCCCCCCCCCCCCCCCCCCCCGCCCCGCTCCCGGCCCCGCTGTCGCCGTGGGTTCGCTGCGGACGCCGGGGATGGCGCTGTTTCGGCCGCTGCCCCCTCTGACAGCTGCACGGCGTTCCGTGGTCAGGCTGGGCCCGGTGTGCCTCGCCAGCCTGTGACCGTGGGCGCGCCGTTTCCCGCCTGTGGCTGCCGCACACGTCACTTCACACACCGGAGCGTGAGCAGGAGGGCTCCCTGAGTCCATGTGCGGGGTCAAAGGCCTGTGTGCCCAGCGACTGCCTTTCCGGGCGGTGCTGCGCCCCACGCCTGCCAGGGTGAGCAGTGCCGGATTCAGACTCAAACTCACACCCTTCCCGTCTCCGTCCCATCCCCCCGTCCCCCCCAGTTCAGGGATCCCTGGTTCCGTCCCTCTGGGGGTCTGGATGTGTCTTCTCTCCCACCTCCCACCCCCTGTGCCTTGCTGTCCGGTGGCCCCGGGCGGGACAGCACAGCGAGAGGCTCCCCGAGGCCAGCTGGGCTCCCCTTTCTGCCCTTTCCCTTCTCGAGGGGAGGGATGGGAGTGCCCCCTAAAAGGCGGGCCGAGCGAGGCCGTGCTTAAAGGACGAGTCACTGACGGGGACATTTCAGGCAGGAGGAGTGTGGGGGCACTGGCCTTCCAATGGGCGTGGCTGCCTGCGCACCTACTGTGTGCAGTGCCCTTGCAGACACCCGGGGGCTGGGCATGAGGTCTCTGCCTTCTGGGACTGTGTGCCTGCAGCGCCTGCCTCCTGGCACCTCCCCTGGGGCCTGGCGCCCTGTATCTGTGTATGAATGAATGAATGAATGAGTGAATGAATGGTTGCTTCTTCTCAAGGGGAATGAACGGATGAACCGTCATTAGAATTGCACAGGAGGGGGCAGACCGGAGGGATGGTTCCTGGCAGCAGGTGCCCGGGGGGAGGGGGGGGTGAGGGATACGTGGGGTGCTTGGATTTTAAAGAGGACAGAGGAAAAGCAGCCGTGAGGGTTTGGGGTACAAAGAACACTTCCCCATGCGCCCGCCCAGCCTCCTGTGTGCTCCTGCCGCTGCTCAGTCCTCCCCACGCAGCCGCAGCTGGGCCTCGGAGGTGAGACCTCACGTCTTCGCAAGCGGGGACCGCCCCCCACCCAGACCGGGTCGGGCACAGACCTGCCCGGGGCCGGGGAGCGGGCTGGAGGTGGAGCTGGAGCGCGGGCCTCTGGTCCCCAAGCTGAACGGCAGCCTGCGGTCCCCGGGCTGGGCCGTCAGCTGAGGAGTTTGGGGGGGCTGCCATGTCCCTGGGGGGCTGCCGCTTTCCCCCCTGCCTGCTGGCTCTGCGGCCTGTCCCCCGGAGGGCGGGGCCTGGGCACCCCGCCTCTCGGTGCCTCTGCCCCGGGATGGGCCCCCGGCTCCGGGGCTGGGCCTTCTCTCGGGCCCCGTGGCCTGTTGTCCTGCGAGGCTGCCTGTCAGCCATCGTGGCCGGCGCCCCACTTCCCCGCCCGACTTGGGGGTTTGCCGATGAGCAGAAAGTGGCCGGGGTGTGGGTGCGCTGTGTGCCAGAGCGGCTGGCATCCCTCGGTTCCGTGAGGCTCCCCTACATGCCAGGCCTGCGCTGGGCAGAGCAGCCACTGGTCCCCCCACAGCCCCCTCAGGGCCCGGGGTCCCCCACCCCCACCAGGGCCCAGCCCTCGAGCTCTGGGGCCGAGCCTGCACTGTGGGTTTTGGGGTTCGGGCGAGGGGACTGAGCGGCCTCCTCTCCTCAGGCTGCCGCCCCCACTTCCTCTTTCTGCCAGCCAGCCCTGAGCGCAGGCCTCCTGCCCGGAGGCCGGGTTCCTGCCTGCGCGGCCCGGGGAGGAAGTGGGGGCCTCGGTCTGAAGGCGGGGGGTGGGCTCCGAGCCCCCAGGGCGCGGCGGGCCGGCGGCTGCCGGAATTCCCGAGCCCCTGAAGGCCCATTCCCGGGGGTCATTGGAGGTCCGGGCCCCCAACTTCCAGCAGCTGTGGGACCCAGACCCCCCTGGGCAGCACCGGCCAGGAGAGCCCGGCGGCCTGTCTCCTCTGTGGACGGGAGGCCGTGGGGTGTGGCGCAGCTCGGAGGGCTTCCTGGAGGGGGAGGCCGCCCTGGGCCGAGCTGGCTGAGGAGGCCGCCTGGCCTCGGCCTGGGCCCCCACAGGGCGGAGCCGCGTGTGACCGGTGACCGCGGCTCCCACAGGCGGCTCTAGGGAGGCCGGGGGACACGCTTTACCGCCTCGGTGGGCGCAGCGTTAAACAGGACCCGGAGTCAGGTCCAGGCTAAGCTGGCAAACCAGCCCCGGGCTGAGGCCTGGCCCCGCGTCCCCTGCTGCCCGCCCTCCCCGGCGTGGCCTCCCCGTCACTCCGGCCACTTGGTGTGTCTGCAGAGCCGAGGAGCCCCGAGCCCGGTCAGCCTGACCCCGATGCCCAGGAAGATGCCAGACGCGCCGTGACCGAGGCCTGGCGTGGAGCGGCGGGCGCCGCGGTGCCCATGGACTCGCAGGCCGCGGGGCCCCCGCCCCCGCCCCCGCCCCGCCCGCCGGGCCCGCGGAGGCCCGAGGCCTAGGCCCGCGGGGAGGGTGCGGCACCGATGCCTTCCCGGCCGTGGGCCCTCCTGAGCGGGCTCCCCGGGCCGCGGGGCCCCGGCCGGAGCATGCCGGCCAAGGGGTGCTACTTCCTCAACGAGGGCGAGGAGGGCCCGGACCCGGACGCCCTGTACGAGAAGTACCGCCTCACCAGCCAGCACGGGCCACTGCTGCTGACGCTGCTGCTGGTGGCCATCGCGGCCTGCGCCGCCCTCATCGGCATCGCCTTCGGCCGCGGGGTGAGTGGGGCGGGCGGGCGGGCTTCCTGGAGGCGGGGGCGCCCGGGGAACGCCGTGACACGTCCCCGCGTGTGTGCCCCGCGCCAGGACCCGTCCGGGCAGCAGGCCGTGCTGGCGACGGCGTTCCTGGCGCTCGCCGTGTTCGCGGGGCTGTACGTGCTGGTGTACGTGGAGCGCCTGGCGCGGCGCTGGCTGCGGGCCTCGGCGCTGCTCATCTGGGCCTGCCTGCTGGCGCTGGGCTACGCGCTGGTGTTCGACGCGTGGAGGAGGGCGGCCTGCGCCTGGGAGCAGGTACCGGCGGCCCCGGGGCGGGTGCCGTTCACCGCGGCACCGCCGTGGGCATCGGGTCCCGTGGAGGCCGATGGACCGGCCCTGCCCGCTCCCCAGGCTGTGGCTCTGTGCCAGTTCTCTGCCCGATGGGGTGGCTGGAGGTGGGGGCTCTGCTGGGTGGGCCCGCGCTGGGCGGGAAGTCACGTGTCCAGCTCCGAGAAGCGGAGGCGCGGACAGCTCGTGTGCCAGGAAAGGCTGAGGGGTCTGTCCCGGCCCCCAGGGCCACGCCCCACTCCCTGGGCTCGGCTCCCTCCGTGCGTGCAGGGGGGCAGCCGTGCCAGGCCGGGCAGGGAGGGCCGGGTGGGTGCTGGGGCGCGGCCGGCCGCATCGCGTGTGCCCGTGCAGGTGCCCTTCTTCCTGTTCGTCGTGTTCGTGGCGTACACGCTGCTGCCCTTCACCATGCGGGGCGCCCTGGCGGCCGGCGGCGTCTCCAGCGCGTCCCACCTGCTGGTGCTCGGCACGCTGATGGGCGTCTCCCCGCCGCCCGGCGTCCGGGTGTGGCTGCAGGTGAGGCTCCGGCGTCAGGGGTCAGGGTGAGGGGTCAGGGTGGGGTACAGGTGAGGCTCTCGGGGTCAGGGGTCAGGGGTCAGGGTGGGCTGCAGGTGAGGCTCTGGGGTCAGGGGTCAGGGGTCAGGGTGGGGTACAGGTGAGGCTCTCGGGGTCAGGGGTCAGGGTGGGGTACAGGTGAGGCTTCGGGGTCAGGGGTCAGGGGTCAGGGTGGGCTGCAGGTGAGGCTCCGGGGTCAGGGTCAGGGTGGGGTGCAGGTGAGGGGCTTTAGGGATCAGAGTGGGGAGCAGGTGAGACTCTGGGGGTCAGGGGTCAGGGGTCAGGGGTCAGGGTGAGGGGCTTGAGGGATCAGTGGGGTGCAGTGAGGCTCGGGGGTTGGTAGGGGCTGTGGTTCGGGCTGAGGGCAGCCAGGCCCGTGGGGTGAGTTGGTCCAGAGCCGGAAGCCCTGTTCGCAGCTGCTGGCCTCGGGGCGGGCTCTGGAAGCCCCGTCTGGGTGCAGGCACTGTCCGGGGCGAGGCCTGGTCCTGGGGGTCACCCGCAGGCTGGGCTGCCTGGCGCCTGTCCTGTGTCTGTGCCGAGTGAGCGGCTGTCCACTGTGGAGCCGCGTGTGGTTTCCTCCTGGCGGGTCTGGTGCCTGCTCCGGGGCAGAGGCGGGAGCTCGGGGCAGCCGGCCGGGCCGGGGCCGGGCCGCCCTGACCGTGTCCCCGCAGCTGCTGGCCAACGCGGTGGTGTTCCTGGGCGGGAACCTGGCGGGCGCCTTCCACAAGCGGCAGATGCAGGGCGCCGCCCGCGAGCTCTTCACCTACACGGTCAAGTGCATCCAGATCCGCCGCAAGCTGCGCGTCGAGAAGCGCCAGCAGGTGGGCCCCCCCCCGCCCGCCAGGCGCCCAGGCCCCGCGTCCTCCCTGCGGGCAGCCGGGCCCCTAGAGCCGCTGTGCGGGGGCCACGGGGCCGGACACCCCGCAGGCTGACCCCGGGGATGTGTGTGCCCGTTGGCTGGCGGCAGCACATGGGCCAGCAGCGGGGAGGGGATGGCGCAGCAGAAAGGGGAGACGTGCAGGGGAAGCCTGGGCCTGACATCACCCCCCGCCCCCCCCCCCCCCCCCCCCCGCCAGGAGAACCTGCTGCTGTCGGTGCTCCCGGCCCACATCTCCATGGGCATGAAGCTGACCATCATCGAGCGGCTCAAGGAGCGCGGGGACCGGCGCTGCCTGCCCGACAACAACTTCCACAGCCTCCACGTCAAGCGGCACCAGAACGTCAGGTGGGCCGCCGCCGGCCTGTGCGCGGGGCGGCCTTCCCCCCCTCGCTTCCGCCCCCCGCCCCCCGCCCCCCGCCTCCCCCCTCCCGCCCTCCGCCCCCCCCGCCCCCCGCCCCCCGCCCCCTGCCCCCGCCTCCCGCCTCCCAGGCTGTGGACGGCCCAGAACTTGGACTGGGCAACTGGGAGGTCGGTGCAAGCTGCCGCTCTGGCTGCCAGGCCGTGTCCAGCTCCCTTAGCCTCAGTGTGCTCATCTGGAGAATGGGAGCCCGGGGAGGGCGGGGGGGGGGCGGCGGGGGGCGGAGCTAACAGGCCTTGGCTCTGAGGTCTGCGGAGGTGGGAAGCCAGGGGCAGGGCAGGACTGGCTGTGAGCAGGTCCCTCACCCTCACCGGGCACTCGGCCTCACCGGGCACTCACCCTCGCCGGGCACTCGGCCTCGCCGGGCACTCGGCCTCGCCGGGCACTCGGCCTCGCCGGGCACTCAGCCTCGCCGGGCACTCGGCCTCGCCGGGCACTCGGCCTCGCCGGGCACTCGGCCTCGCCGGGCACCCAGCAGCAAGGCTGGGCTGGGCTGGGCTGGGGGTCGGGAGGCCTGCACTGTGGGGTTTGCTTTAGCCTCTCTGTCCGTCCCTCTGGGGGCTGTGGGCAGGCACAGGGGTGGCGGGGCCCGGGTCCCTGCGGCCTGACCCACAGCTGCCCCTGACCCCCCGCCTCCCCCGCCCCCCCCCTCCCAGCATCCTCTACGCTGACATTGTGGGCTTCACACGCCTGGCCAGCGACTGCTCCCCCAAAGAGCTGGTGGTGATGCTGAACGAGCTGTTCGGGAAGTTTGACCAGATCGCCAAGGTCAGCCCGGGGTCGGGAGGGGGTTTGGGGGTGACGGCCTGTGCGGCCCGGGCCCCGCCGACCCGCCCCCTCGCCCGCAGGCCAACGAGTGCATGCGCATCAAGATCCTGGGCGATTGCTACTACTGCGTGTCCGGGCTGCCCGTGTCCCTGCCCACCCACGCCCGCAACTGCGTCCAGATGGGGCTGGACATGTGCGAGGCCATCAAGTAGGTGCCGGGCGGGTCCGGGCCCCGGGCCTCCTCCTGCCCCCAGGGCACGGGGTGGGGGGGAGAAGGCATTGTCCCCATTCTTCAGATGGGGAAACTGAGGCTCGGGGTAGCAGCGAGTCTGGGTCACGCAGCCGCCCGCTGGGGTCCCCCCGCTGGGCCTGAGCGCCAGGAGCTCGGAGCTGGGCGTGAGGGTGGCGGCCGGGCAGCGGGGGGCGCTCACGGCCCCGCCAGGCTGAGGGCTTTCTCCGGGGACTGCGCCCCCCAGGCCACGCCCCGCGGGGACCCCGGCCGGGCCTCGGTGAGTGAGGGACCCCCGTCTGCCCAGGCAGGTGCGGGAGGCCACCGGTGTGGACATCAGCATGCGGGTGGGCATCCACTCGGGGAACGTGCTGTGCGGGGTCATCGGGCTGCGCAAGTGGCAGTACGACGTGTGGTCCCACGACGTGTCCCTGGCCAACCGGATGGAGGCGGCCGGCGTGCCTGGGTGAGGCCCCGCGGGGGCTCTGATCCCGGCTCGGGACTGGGGCTGTCGCGGGGGAGAAGGGGGTCGGAGGCGGATCAGTGAGCTTGCGGGGTGGGGGAGCGGGGGCACGGCGGGGGGTGCCGGCTGTGCATCCTTGGGGGAGGGCGCCCTCTCTGGGCCCGGCCGCGCCCCTGACTCGGTCCCCCCAGCCGGGTGCACATCACCGAGGCCACGCTGAGCCACCTGGACCAGGCGTACGAGGTGGAGGAGGGCCACGGGCAGCAGCGGGACCCCTACCTGAAGGAGATGAACATCCAGACCTACCTGGTCATCGACCCCCGGGTACGCACTGAGGCGGGGGCGAGGGGGGGGGCGCCCCGGGCAGGTCCCCGGGAAGGAGGGGGCCTGCTGGTGGGAGTGAGCTCCCGTCACTGGGTGTGGCTGGGCCCCCAGGATCGCCGCCCTGGGCCTCGCGCCCCCCCCCCTGCCCCCCGGACAGACGGGGGAATAGTCACTGGGAGTTTGTTTTCCATGCGGCCGGCACTAATCCCGGGATTTCCAAAGGACACATTTGAAAGCCGTGCTTTGGATGAGACTCGGGAAAGCAGGGGATGGCCGGGGGCCGGGGGGCCGGGGGCTGCAGGGCCGGGGGGTTGGGGGCCGGGGGGGCTGGCGTCTGCAGGGTCAGGGGCTGAGATGCCCCCGCTTTCCCATGGACCCCGTGGAGGGGCCCCGGGCTGCTCCCAGCCTGCCCCACGCCGTTCCTCCGCCCCAGGAGGCCAGCTGAGCCCCTGGCGGCTGGTGAATCATCCTTGGGGCGTGCTCAAGAATGTCGGCCACGCAGGCTGCCCACTCCCTCACTGGCCTCGGCCGTCCTCAGGCTGGCCCGCCTGCCCAGAGCCGCTCTGGCCCTGCTCCCCACCCCGCCCCCACCCCACCCCACCGGGCGCAGCGGCTGTGCAGGGGCCAGTGCCCAGTGGGAGCCGCGGGCGGAGCGAGGGTGGACAGCGGCTGTGCCCCCGCAGAGCCAGCAGCCGCCCCCGCCCAGCCAGCACCTCCCCAAGCCCAAGGGGGACGCGGCGCTGAAGGTGCGGGCCTCCCTGCGCATGACCCGCTACCTGGAGTCCTGGGGCGCCCAGCGGCCCTTCGCCCACCTCAACCAGCGGGAGAGCGTGAGCAGCGGCGAGACCCCCGTGCCCAGCGGCCGGCGGCCCAAGGTGGGACGGTCCTCCCAGCCGGACCGGTGCCCTCGCGGGGGCAGGCCTCACTCTCTCCGCCTGTGAAATGGGCGCGGAGGCCGCCGGCTCCCTCCCGGACTGGCCCGGGGATGGGACCCGGGATGGAGACTGACCGCCCCTCCCCCTCCCTTCCAGGCCATCCCACTGCGGCGCCAGCGCACCCCGGACAGGTGGGTGTGCCGCCCCTCCCGCTCGGCACCCCGCCCCTCCCGCCCGGCACCCCGCCCCTCCCCGCCCGGCACCCCGCCCGGCACCCCCACCCAGCACCCCCGCCCGGCACCCCGCCCGGCACCCCCGCCAGGCAGGCCGCCAACCTCTGGCCCCGGTGACGCCCGGTGCCCGTCTGATTCTAGAAGTGCGTCCCCCAAGGGGCGGTCGGAGGATGACTCCTGCGACGACGAGATGCTGTCAGCCATCGAGGGGCTCAGCTCCACCAGGTGAGGGGCCTGGATCTCTGCGTGCCCTGCCCCCTCGAATGGGCCCCCCTGTGCCCAGACCCCCCTGTGCCCTGCCCCCTGTGCCCAGACCCCCTGTGCCCAGGCCCCCTGTGCCCAGACCCCCCTGTGCCCAGGCCCCCCTGTGCCCAGACCCCCTGTGCCCAGGCCCCCCTGTGCCCAGGCCCCCCTGTGCCCAGACCCCCTGTGCCCAGACCCCCTGTGCCCAGGCCCCCTGTGTCCAGACTCCCCTGTGCCCTGCCCCCTGTGCCCACGCCCCCCTGTGTCCAGACCCCCTGTGCCCAGACTCCCCCTGTGCCCTGCCCCCTGTGCCCAGGCCCCCTGCGCCCAGGCCCCCTGCGCCCAGCTCCAGTTCTGTCCCGGGAGCTCCTTCCCCTCCTGGTGCTGCCCCTGAGGGTGGCCCTGCCCCCTGTTCCCCCCGGGGCACTCTCCCCCATCTCACTGCCCTCCCGCCGCCAGGCCCTGCTGCGCCAAGTCGGACGACTTCTCCGCCTTCGGGTCCCTCTTCCTGGAGAAGGGCTTCGAGCGAGAGGTGAGCGCCGGGCCGCCCGGAGGCCTCGGGCCCTGGCTGGTCAGGGACATGGGGCAGACGGGGAGCTGGGGGCGGGGAGGGTCCCCTCAGACCCCCGGTGGAGGGGGAGGGAGGGGGAGGGCGTTGAGATAATGCACTGGGGGCGCCGAGGGGGCGGCGCTGCCCGGCCTCGCTGTCGGCCGCCCCAGCCGCTCTGTGCCCGCAGTACCGCCTGGCGCCCATCCCCCGCGTCCGCCACTACTTCGCCTGCGCCAGCCTCGTCTTCCTCTGCATCCTGCTGGTCCACGTCCTGCTCATGCCCAGGTCAGTCGGGTGGGCACACGGTCAGCCCGCCGGCCGGGGTCAGGCGGGGTCAGGCGGGTCGGCGGCCGGCAGGGCGTGGCACCCGGTGGGGGTCTGAGGCGGCTGTTAGGAGCTCAGGGGCCTCCCTGGCGTCCTCGCACCCGGGGCTCCAGCCCCTGGTTTTTGCTTTCACTGAGCGGCTGCTCCCCGAGCCTGAGCCCCAGCCCCCAGCCCCCAGCCCCCTCCCCCGCCGCCCACTGTCCACACGGCCGGGCAGCTCCGCGGGCCTCCTGCCGGGGGCGGGCCGCTCCCCCTCGTGGCTGTGGGCACGGAGGCTCAGCGGCCGGGCCACGCCTCCTCCAGGTGCCACACCGAGAGGCAGGCCTCCGCCTCCCGGCCCTCTGAGGTCACAGGGGGAGAGGGGTCAGCCCCGTGCGGGTGGGGGGGCGGTCAGGCCGCGGTGCAGGGCCTCGTGTCCACGGCGCGCTCGCTAACGCAGGACAGGAAGCGCGTCTGCGTGGAGCTTCCGGACCAGGCCCGGCCTCCCGCTGCGAAGTCACTCATTTTTAAAATATATTGATAGAAATAAAAAGATATATTGATGATCTCAGAGAGGAAGGGAGAGGGAGAGAGAGAAACATCAATGGTGAGAGAGTGAATAATCGATCGGCTGCCTCCTGCATGCCCCATATTGGGGATCAAACCCACACCCCGGGCCTGGGCCCTGATCAGGAATCCAGCCGTGACCTCCTGGCCCACAGGCCGATGCTCAGCCACAGTCACTCCTGAGCTCCCTCCCTCCTTCCCTCCCTCTCCCCTCCCTCCCTCACTCCCTCCCTCCTTCCCTCACTCCCTCTCTCCTTCCCTCCCTCCCTGTGCACCTGGTGCAGACGGGGGTCTGAGCTTGATATCGGGCTCCGGTCTGGCCAGGCTCTGGTGCTGTCGACACGGCAGCTGGACACGGGGTCAGAGGGCACCAGGGTCAGAGGGCATGGGGCTGAGCTTGGAAGAGCAGCTTGGGGGTGGGGGCGGGCAGGAGGCGGCCGTGCGCCTGAGGACTGGGTGCTGGTGGATGGGGGAGCGTGTCGGAGGCTTGGCCCTGAGCAGACACTTCCCCAGGACTTAGGCGTGTCCCCCTCTGCAGGACAGTGGCTCTGGGGGTGTCCTTCGGGCTGGTGGCCTGCGTGCTGGGGCTGGTGCTGGGCCTGTGCTTCGCTGACGAGCTGCTGGTGAGTGGGGAGCCCCGGGCCCAGCCCTGTGGGGGCTCATGGGTGTCGAGGCTGAGGAGGTGCGAGGCCCCGACCCCCTGGCCCTCCTGCCTCAAGGGCGGTCACCGCGTCCCCCCCTTCCCCCATGCTTTCCCCCTGAGGTCCCCGAGCGGCTGTAGCTGTCCATGTCCCTCTGTCTGGGCACTGCACGTGTCTGAGCTCTGGGCACAGCACCCGCTGATGCTCTCATGTCTGCGGGCCTTTGGCCTACCCCCTCCCCCCCCTGAGACCCCTGCCCCCACCAGAGCCCAGGCAGGGTCCCCCTGTCCGGCTGCGGCGGTGACCTGGGCCTGTGTCCCCAGCGGTGCTGCCCGGCCTGGACGGCGCTCCGGGCCGTCGCTGAGAGGGTGGAGACGCACCCGCTGCTGCGCGTGGCCCTGGCCGTGCTCGCCGTGGGCAGCCTGCTCACCATCGCCATCGTCAACATGGTGGGTTCCCGTGCTGGGGAGGGGTGAGGGAGGGGGGTGGGGAGGGGCCCTGGAGGGCTCTGTGCCCGCCTCCTGGTGGCAGGATAGGCCTGAGCCTGGGACCTCCCCGGTCTGGACTCCTGGAGTTCCGTGACCTAAAAGCTGCCTGTGGCAGAGCCTCTGCACAGCCGTGTGGCCGGGCTGGTGGCTCCGTGGCAGTGAGAGCCCCTCCCCGCCAGTTCCCTGTCCGGGGCCCCGCCTCTTGGGCAATGCTCCGTGTCCATGTCCTACATCGTTCCAGGCCCCACACCTACCAGGGTCTTCCCTACTCTGTCCCCTGTCCCGACCTCCGTGGCCCTGTCCCCACCTCCGTGGCCCCGTCCCCACCTCCGTGGCCCCGGCCCCACCTTCCTGGCCCCGGCCCCACCTCCCTGGCCCCGGCCCCACCTCCCTGGCCCCGTCCCCACCTCCGTGGCCCCGTCCCCACCTCCGTGGCCCCGTCCCCACCTCCGTGGCCCCGGCCCCACCTCCGTGGCCCCGGCCCCACCTCCGTGGCCCCGGCCCCACCTCCGTGGCCCCGTCCCCACCTCCGTGGCCCCGTCCCCACCTCCGTGGCCCCGTCCCCACCTCCGTGGCCTCGGCCCCACCTCCGTGGCCTCGGCCCCACATCCGTGGCCCCGTCCCCACCTCCGTGGCCCCGGCCCCACCTCCCTGGCCCCGGCCCCACCTCCGTGGCCCCGGCCCCACCTCCGTGGCCCCGGCCCCACCTCCGTGGCCCCGGCCCCACCTCCGTGGCCCCGGCCCCACCTCCGTGTCTCCGGCCCCACCTTCGTGGCCCCGGCCCCACCTCCGTGGCTCTGGCCCCACCTCCGTGGCCCCGGCCCTGTGGACTGACAGAGCTGGGCCGGTGGGACGTGCCGGGATGCGGGCAGAGGCCTTGGTGCTGGAGCCCCAGACCCCGACCACGAGTCACGGGCGTCTTCTCTCTCTGCAGCCCTTGCTGCCCGCTGGGAACCAGACCGGCCTGAGGGCCGGGAGCAGCAGGGAGCGGACCCCTTGCGAGCTCCTCCCGGTGAGTGCGCCCCCTGGCGGCCTGAGGCCTCTTGGGTGACGGCTGGTCGGGGTGTCTCTCGGAGACGGGAGACGGTGGGTGACCGGCACCCCGTCCCCCAGTATCACACCTGCAGCTGCATCCTGGCCTTCGTCGCCTGCTCCGTCTTCCTGAGGATGAGCCTGGAGCTGAAGGTGGCGCTGCTGACGGCGGCCCTGGTGGCCTACCTGGCGCTCTTCCACCTGTCCCTGTGCGCGCAGGCGGCCTGCTGCGGCCCCGGCCCGGCCAACCGCACCGGCACCAACGCCACGCTCAGGTGGGCCAGCCCGGCCGCGGGGATGGGGCCCTGAGTCCGTTCCCAGGGCGTTTCAGACCGAGCCCGGCAGGGGGCACTGCGGGGGCGGCGGGTGGACACAGGAAGGCAGGGACGGCTGCCGGTTCTCGGGGAGCGTCCCTGGTCTCACGGGCCCCTGGGAGGTCCGGTCTGGAGGCCAGTTTGGGGCGGGGATGAGGCTTTAGCCAGACAGGCAGGTGATGACTGGCCCAGGGGCCAGGTGTGTGCGTGGTCCTGACAGGTGTGGCCTGTGGCCGGGGCAGGTGTGTGCGTGGTCCTGACGGGTGTGGCCTGTGGCCGGGGCAGGTGTGTGCGTGTCCTCACAGGTCTGACATTGCCAGGGGCACGTGTGTGCGTGGTCTTGGGGCTCTGGGCCTAATTGGGTTGAGGAGAGGGACTGGAGGCTGGGCCAGGGAGCAGGACAGGCCACCCTGCAGGTTGGCTGGCACCCGCACACCTGCCAGGGCACACGTCCGACCACCGGAGCCAGCGCCTCCTGCCCCCTCGCGGCCTGGGCTTCCCGTCCAGACCGGGTGTGGCTGTTCCTTGTCATCGGGGCCTCAGCTCAGACGTCACTTCAGGGAGGCTGACCTCTGACCCACACCCCGTTTCTTCTTTGTCTCGTTCGCTGCGCCAGACGCCGGTCTGGGTGGCTCTTCCCGGGTGGCGCTGGGGGGGTCTGGGCCCCAAGCCCGTGTTTGGGGGTGAGAGCTGAAAGGACCTGCCTCTCCCTTCCCTCCCGCAGCTCCCCCGCCTGCTCCTGGCCCGACCTGAAGATCATGGTCAGCTTCTACCTGGTTCTGTTCTACGCCACCCTCGTCTCGCTCTCCCGGCAGGTGAGCTCAGCGCCCACCTGCCCTCCACGGGGAGGGCCGGGGCTGGTCTTGGGGGAGCCCTGGCCGGGGACCGAGTGCCCCCTGGCCCCCAGGAGGGAGGTCACCAGGCTCACGGGCGGGCCGTGCCGGGGGGCAGCGCCCGCTCACGGGAGGACCCCGCCCGCGGCAGATCGACTACTACTGCCGCCTGGACTGCCTGTGGAAGAAGAAGTTCCAGAAGGAGCAGGAGGAGTTCGAGACCATGGAGAGCGTGAACCGCCTGCTGCTGGAGAACGTGCTGCCGGCCCACGTGGCCGCCCACTTCATCGGGGACAAGCTGAACGAGGTGCGGCCGGCGGGCGGGCCGGCCGGGCGTGCGGGAGGGGCCTGGGCGTGCTCCCCGCCTGGGGGGAGGCTGACGGCCGTGGGGGAGGGCTGACGGCCGTGGGGGAGGGCTGGCGGCTGTGGGGGACGGCTGGCGGCTGTGGGGGACGGCTGACGGCCGTGGGGGAGGGCTGAGGGCCATGGGGGAGGGCTGAGGGCCGTGGGGGAGGGCTGCCGGCTGTGGGGGAGGGCTGGCGGCTGTGGGGGACGGCTGACGGCTGTGGGGGAGGGCTGAGGGCCGTGGGGGAGGGCTGAGGGCCATGGGGGAGGGCTGAGGGCCGTGGGGGAGGGCTGCCGGCTGTGGGGGAGGGCTGGCGGCCGTGGGGGAGGGCTGAAGGCTGTGGGGGAGGGCTGAAGGCTGTGGGGGAGGGCTGAGGGCCGTGGGGGAGGGCTGAGGGCCGTGGGGGAGGGCTGCCGGCTGTGGGGGAGGGCTGAGGGCCGTGGGGGAGGGCTGCCGGCCGTGGGGGAGGGCTGCCGGCTGTAGGGGAGGGCTGCCGGCTGTGGGGGAGGGCTGCCGGCTGTGGGGGAGGCTGACGGCCGCTCAGTGTTTCCTGGGGTCCTGGCCGCACTGCGGGGCCCGGGACGGGGTGAGCTGCTCGCACAGGGACGTGGGCGTGGGCGTGGGCATGGGCGTGGGCGTGGGCTGGGCGCCTCCCTCCTGGGCGGTGCCCCAGAGCCTGCCAGGCAGGGTGTGGGGTGTACCCGGCAGCGGTGAGCCGGGGTCACCAGCTCCTCTCCTCGGGCTCTGACCGCTCCGCGGACCCTGCGTTTAAGAGAAGTCAGCCCGAGCCCGGCTCTCCTCGCCCTCCTGACGGGCTCCCGCTTCTGTTTTTATTTTAACTGTGTTCACGGGTTCAGAGGGGAGGGCGAGGGAGGGCGAGGGAGGGCCGCTCCCGCTGCGGGCCGGCTGCCACGGCCGCTCTCCTGCAGGACTGGTACCATCAGTCCTACGACTGCGTCTGCGTGATGTTCGCCTCGGTGCCAGAGTTCAAGGTCTTCTACACGGAGTGCGATGTCAACAAGGAGGGGCTGGAGTGCCTGCGGCTGCTCAACGAGATCATCGCCGACTTCGACGAGGTGGGCGCCAGGCGGGCGGGCAGTCGGCAGGGGAGAGGGCGCCGTCACAGCGAGCCCGCTCGGGGGGAGGGCACACTCCGTCACTGCCCTCCTCCCCGCACTCAGTGTCTGGTCCTCCGGCGGCAGCGGCTACCATGCGATTCCTGTGGGGGATCCCCGCCAGCCCCCGTGGTTGTCCTGGGCCGGGGGCCCGCCCGGGAGCCGGAGACAGACCCGGCCTCCCTGTGGGGCCGTTACAGAGCGGGCCGCGTGCTCCTGAGCCGGACCAGAGGCCAGGGCAGGCAGACAGGAGCGGGGAAAGCACACACTTGTCCATAGGAGCGGGCGGGCAGGTGGGCGAGCCCAGGGGGAGAAACGGCTTTGTCAGAAGGGCGGGGGCTGGCAGGAGCCGCCCTGAGGCCTGGGGCAGGCCGCTCAGCTGCCCGGCCCTGCCTCTGCCCTCCAGCTGCTGCTGAAGCCCAAGTTCAGCAGCGTGGAGAAGATTAAGACCATCGGCAGCACCTACATGGCGGCCTCGGGGCTCAGCGCGCCCTCTGGGCACGAGAACCAGGTACGCAGCGCGGCGACCTCTGGCCCGGCTCCCTGAGGTGGAATTCCGTTCCAGACCTGCCAGCTAACGGGCCTGTCCACACCGACCCGGAGGGAGGGTGGTGAGGGCCCAGTCCGGGCCTCTGTGCGGAAGCCCCTGCCCCATCTCTGCCCGCCGACGCCCCCCCCCCCCCCCGCCCCGTGGGCCTCATGCCCACATGGTGCAGATCAGGGGGCTGGTGCGGGAAGACGGGGTGCGGCCAGGCCTGACGGCGCTGTCCCCAGGACTTGGAGCGCCAGCACGCCCACATCGGCATCATGGTGGAGTTCAGCATGGCGCTGATGAGCAAGCTGGACGGCATCAACAGGCACTCCTTCAACGCCTTCCGCCTGCGTGTCGGTGAGCCCCGCCCGCCTCGCCCGCCTCCCGGGAAGGGTCCAGGGCCCTGCCCTCCCCAGCCCGGCAGCTGGGCCGTTGCTTTCCTTGCACGCCACGGACACGAGACAGCCCTCCGGGCAGTGGAGACTGTCAGCAGCTGTAAACAGCTGTAATGTCCGCTGCGAACCAGTTCCTGGCCGGCCGGTCACTGAGCCGCAGGCGGTGCCAGAGCCGCGGCCGGTGAAGAGGTGGGCAGTGCCAGGACGAGTGCCCACTCGGTGCTGCGGGTGACTGGGAAGCACCGTCCGGGCCTCCGGTTCGGGCCTCGTCCGCTGTCCCGGGGGGCTCTGTGGTTGTGGGGGTTCTGCAGCCTCAGTGACCTCAGCTGCGCACGTCCGCCAGGCATCAACCACGGGCCGGTGATCGCCGGTGTGATCGGGGCGCGGAAGCCCCAGTACGACATCTGGGGGAACACGGTCAACGTGGCCAGCAGGATGGAGAGCACCGGGGAGCTGGGCAAGATCCAGGTCAGACCCCGGGATCAAGGGGGGCGCTCCGGGCGAGGGGCCACCACACACTGTACCTGGTTCTTGTGCCCTGAGGGGGCCCAGCTGCTCCCTGGGGCCCTGCCGCCAAGTCCCGGGGGCTCGGGCGCGTTGCTGCTGGCCATCTGCCCGCCCCCGGGTCCCTCCCGCTCCCACAGACTCGCTCCTTCCCTCCCCAGGTGACCGAGGAGACGAGCAGCATCCTCCAGGGCCTTGGCTACTCCTGCGAGTGCCGCGGCCTGATCAATGTCAAGGGCAAAGGGGAGCTGAGGACCTACTTTGTGTGCACGGACACTGCCAAGTGCCAGGGGCCCGGGCTGAACTGAGGGCTGCTGGGGGGGCGGCACTTCCGCCCCTGAACAAGCCAAACCCGTGGAAGACGCAGCCGCCCGTCACCATGGCCGTCGGGCTGGCTGCCATGGCCTCCCCACAGATGCTGCAGGGTCTCCTCTCCGGGAGCCTGCAGGAGAGGGTTCCGGGGCAGTTGGAACCCCGTGTGCTGGCGGGGAACGGGGCCCCCAGCCCGGGAAAAGGATCCTGCGTTCCAGCTCCTTGCTCAGGCCCCGGCTGCTGCTGGCCTGTGGCAGGACCGAAGGCCCTGTGGCAGGGAGCGGCATGGCCAGTTTTCCAGGCAGGAGGACGGAGACAAGTGGCTGGGATGGGCTGGACGCCTTTGCCCGTGACTGGCTACGGCTCCACATTTCTCGCCTGGCGTCCTGGGGGACGGAGCTGGGAAGGGCGTTTCGAACATCCGGAAGGTTTCAAACGGGGGGAGAAAACCCGTGGACCCGGGCTGCTGGCCACCTGTGGCACGTGCTTCTTTAAGTGGGTGCATTATCAGTGAAGGTTTTATCTTTTAATGACTTCTCCGGTCTAGACAAGCCTCTTCCCGCCGGTGCATTCTCTGCCTGTAAGCACTGGCATGCAGGCAGGACCACTGTCCAGGTCAGCTCTGGGGCTGCCCGGCTGCGGGGACAGCGCTGCGGATGGCGGCCCCCATCCGACTCCAGCCTTTCAAGGTGAGGTTGTCAGCAAGAAGCCTGGAAAGCTGGGCCCAGCCACCTCAGCCCGCCTGCTGGCGCCCGTCGGCCCGGCCGCTGCGAGCTTCGGCAGAGAGAGGTGGGGCCATGGAGCCCAGCACCTCTGGGACCCGCTCCTGTCCTCCTGTCCCCACTGACTCTGAGGCGCTTCTATCCAGCCAGGGCACGTGGAGGGGCCCCTGCCTGGTTGTGGAGATGTTCTGACCGAGTGAACCAGGGCAAGTGCAAAAGCATCTGTGAGCTTCTACTCACAGAACCCCGAGTCGAGCCAGGCTCCACAGGCGAGAGCCAGCCTGCGCCCCCCGTCCTGCACTGCCACATGCAGATGACGTCACTGCCGCAGGGACCCCCGGACCTGATGCGGTGACGTCACTCCCACAGGGACCCCCCGGATCTAATGCGGTGACGTCGCTCCCACAGGGCTCTGTCACCCATGGAGCCCCGGGACCAGAGAACCGCACTGAGGCTTTAGGAAGAGGACAAAGGTGCAGGCAGGCGCCTTGCACAGGGTGCCGGTGGTGGGCACATGGAGGAGTGGCATGTGGGCGGATGGTGAGGAAAGGACAGTTGTGTGGCAGCGATGCTGGGAGGGACTAAGCCTTCGTTGGCCTTTTCCACAGCGGTTCTGAGGTAAGACGTGTGCTGTAGCCGCTCCTCTTAGCAGCACAAACATCAGACCACAGGAGCTTAAGGAAATCCCGGTCACCGTGAGCGTACGTGTGTGTTCACAGCTAAAGCACTGTGCCAGGGTGAGCTGAGCTCCCATGTTCAGATCGGAGTGTGTAACTGACCGTGACAGGCACTCACGTGGTTTTATAAATGTTTTCTAATACGTCACTCCTTCACGTGTCACGTTGTTTGACAGGACAAGTCTCTTTCCTAACACTGACGAGGGAGCCCCACCCCGAAGCTCCCTGTGGGAGGAAGACTTTCCCCCACCGCACGGTGTGTGACTGTCAGCTGCGGGAACAGCACAAAGCGGTGTGCTGAGCGCCGAGTGTTTACAGAGCTTAGTGTTCGTGCCGGGTCGTTATGTGCTGTTTATAAGGACGGCGCTGCTGCGTGCTCAGCCGTCCATGTGTCAGATGGGCAGCGCTCTCGGGAAGCTGCCTGTCCTGGCGCAGACGCTTTCTTGGCCTCAGAAAGAGCCTCGCTAAGGCAGGGCTCCGGGGCTGGAGCGGCCGCACTCCGCCTCCCGAGGACTCTGCCCGCCGGCTCCCCCGTCCCCACAGCTCTGGTGGCAGCAGCCAGAGCCACGCGCTTCCTCACCGGCCCTCAAACCTCAGGTGCAGCCTGAGAGGGAGGAGCGGTCTGGTTCTAGTTTCTCTAACGGACGGTGGGGCTGAGGGACTGGAGTGTTTGGAGGACATGTTTCCTCTAACTTGCAGTGTTTCCCAAAGTGTGGTATGTGTCCCCCCAGGGGCACGGGAAGAGTTTGGTGGGGGTGCGCGTTGCACCGGAGTTTGGTGGGGATATGCACTGCACTGTGCTTGGTTGCGCCTAATTCTACGTTCTCATGAGTATGAGGGGTACTCAGCGTTACGAAAATTATAGAAGGGGTACACATACGTCAAAAGTTTGGGAAACACTGCACGGCCAGGAAAGGCTGTTTTCTCCGTCACATTATCAGAAAGGTCAGGGATCACTGAGCTGACATGCACTGTCCAGTTCAGAGTCCCAGGGTCAGCTGTTACCCAACAGAGGCCAGTCTCTGGAACATGAAATTAATTGTCCCAAAGTTTAATTAAAAACACAATTTACAAATATTTAATATCTCTGAAAAGCATTTCTAAATTAAGAATCAAAAAATATGTACATAATATATAATCAAGTACCGGTCAGCTTCCACTCCCACTGGGGCCACTCTCAGCAACATCCGTCATCTTAGCTTCTTCAGAATCTGGAAGAAAAAACCAACTGGCATACTTCCCCTTTCTGATGCAGAGGAATGGGGCGGGAAGTAGTGTCCCGCGGTGCTGGCACTGGGGAGCCTGCGTTAGCGATCACTAGCTCCTCCTGCAGGTGCGGAGCCTTCACCTCGCCGAGGGAGCAGCTGGGGAGCCCCGCCCTCCTGCTGGGCACGCACCTTCTGTCAGGTCCACCGGGCTGCTCCCTGCGCCGGGGCGGGGCACGGAGATGCCCATGGCTTTCCGAACCCCGTACGTGCTGACGACGTCGCCGGGCGTTACTTGCTGTGCCAGTTCTTTAAGGTTAGTGGTCACCTGTTCAGCTGGGAAAAACAGAACAAACAGAGCAGCTGGAGGTATGAAATGGGCTTCCGTGAGGAACAAGTACACACACGCAGACCACGTGTCCGATCCCCTCCGCCGGGACCTACCGAGGTGCAGCTCCCGGTACGAGGGGCCCAGGAGGCAGATGGTGTTGGGCGGGGGCCTGGCGCTCAGGCGCTCGTTCTGGGCTTCCTGCAGCTCCCGCAGCAGCCGGGTGGTCTCGTCTAGCTTCCTCTGGAACACCTCGGCCTCTGTGGGGACAGCACAATACGGAGGCCGCCCTGGGCGCCACCCTGAGCGGCATGGGGTGTATCGACTGATCTCACACAACCCCCAGCCGCTCACTGCTGCACCAGGAGCGCTCCCAACCCGAGACACTCACCTTCAGAGTCGAACACTTCGACCGGAGCGCCCAAGTTTGCCACTGCCTCCAGGGCGGCAAGCCTGTCCTGGCTGCCGGAGCCCCCCCGCCCCGCGGGCTCCTCGGTGACCTGCTGCGGAGGGAGAGGACGCGTTCGAGCTGACTGAGAAACCAGGAAGATGGCCGTCTGCAGCCGTTATCCCACCTGCTCACGTGGCAGCTGTGGTCTGACGCCCACAGAAATGCCGTTCTCAAGCCTGGCACCGAAGTGCCCACACACCACGCTGCGCGGTGAGGTGCGGAAGTGTCTGGCACAGTCTGCACCATTGTCTCGAGTGCCAGCCATTCAGAGCCAACTGCCCGGGACTGCCACGTGGTGAAGATGAAGAGCCGTGCCAGCCCGTCCGGCCCTGCGCCCTCAGGAGCTCTCGTACATAAGGCACTTCCGGGCTCCTCCAGGCCCACAGCGGGGGCCGGAAATGCACGGAGAAACACAACCCAAAACGGGGTGGCGTTTAATTCTGGAATTACGAGCCTCAGTGTCTACAACCTCATGCTGCCATTTAGGAACACGTGGCCAAGGTGGCTGGTTTAGTTAGACTGTGGCGTTGTACTCCGAGCTCAAACCCCGAGCACCTGATCCCCCCCCCCCTCCCCGCTAAGGGTGCGGGGAGAGCTGTCAGCTCCAGTGTGGCCCTCACAGCCCCGTCTCCTCACTGCTCTCCCAGCCCTGACACTTCTTTCTCGCCCGTGGCTTTGCTGGGCTCCACCCCCGGCATCTGGCCTACTCGGCCTCCCGTCCGCAGCTGAAGGGCTTGATCGGAGGCCCTCCCGCTCATCTCCATTGAACGTTTCTGTAAGAACAGAATCAATCACCTCTGTGTCTTTGGCTGCGCCGAGGGTCCTGCTCTGGCCTTCCTCTTCAGGGGACGACTGCAGGAGAGAGAGACAGCGTCTATTCCCAGCACAGGCAAAGGCAAGCCACACAGGAACGGAGAGGCTGGGCTCGGGGAGTAAGATGGACGAGACAGACTTTCTGGCGTCTGGATTATCTTGTGAGTCAAGAGCACCCCTAGTGACTTAGCGACGGGCGATTCTGTGCCGGACCCAAACGCTACGTGTGAGCCCAGGGCGTGTGGGGAGCAGCACAGGCGTCTAAGTGGAGTTCCCCGCAGCCAGTCCGTGTGGGACCAGGCGCCGGGGCTGTGCCGCGGGGCAGGCGCGGCTCAGAAGGAAGCCGCTGTGAACACAGCCGGCCTCGGAGACACACAGACAGACGGCACATCAGGACTCCAGCCAGGAACGAGGGCACTTCCTGAAAGGTGGTGATTTAACCGATCCCCAGTGTTTAAAAATTATGGACAATGCATCCTTACAGAAAGCTTCTTCCTTATTTTCCAGAATCAATCCTGACAATAGTAACTGTTGCATCAAAGAGCTGAGAAACTGCAAACAGAAACTGCCACATTGGCCAGGGGAGGCCACTTGATTTTAGCTCAGGCTGTTCCCCGCCAGGAAGAGCACGGAGACAGCTCAGCTCGGCCCCAGGAGCGCTGCTGGCTCTGGTCTCTGAGCGGGTGCTGAGCCGCCCCAGCTCATGACCTCTGTCCGCTGCCCTGGAGACCGTTTCCAGTGCTGAAAAGAGATGGCAACCAGGGTGGCCTCCAGCGCTCCTGGAGGCTCACCACTCGCTCACTGAGGAAGGCTCTCTCTCTCTCTGTCTGTCTCTCTCATTTCAGCCCTCGGTTCCCAGCCAGCGAGCAGGTTTCCCTGTCAGGTGCTCGGCACTGGTGCCCGCTCGGCTGAGCGCCCATTGCTCACCCTGCAGGCGCAGGGCCAGGCGACAGGCCCCTCCTTGGGCTGGGTGTCTGCATTACCGCTTCCGCTCATTGTCCCGCCATGGTCCCACCCGGCCGGCCGCCTTCTCAGGGAATGGAGCTCCCTGTCACTGGCTAAGCCCATGGTTTCATAACCGCATGACTAATGCGGACCAACGACACGCCACCTGCTTCTCCGGATGCTTCTTACCGTCTCCGACTCCTGCAGGGTTCTGGAGTGCCCGCCTTTGGTCAGGACGTCCAGTAAGCTGTCCGCCATGACGTACGGGTAATCTTGGCACGTGGCCAGGAACTCGTGGATGCTGAAAGAGAGCACGCGGGGACAGTCACTGCCATAGAACCGTCCCCGCTGGCTCGGTCTTCCTGCCACAGCCAGCGGCTTCCACAGTGCCCTTCACTCACACCGGGTGCCAACTCACCCCAGTCCACGCTGGCTACATGCTCACCAGCGACCACCTGCCGTGGCGACGGGAGGAGACACCGCTAACAGTGAAATGAAGCGCCGGGAAGACGGGCAGAAACCCCAGCTCGGTGATGGAAGCCACGGCTCGGCGGCGCGCTCCGGGCCCCTCCCCTAACTCCTCCGGGGTGAACGCCTCCCTCAGGACCGCCACACTATGAGCCTCCGTCAACCTCAAGCCCGGACCCCGCCCTCAGACCCTCCCCGCTGAGACCAGCACTCAGAAAACCTTGGCGCTCAGGACACTGAGCCGGGACTCGCCTGAAGTCGCTGGCGATGTCACAGCCGTCCTCCCCGTAGGTGGAGTAGATCAAGTCGGAGTCGTCCTTGCTGATGTTGGCGAACGTGGAGTCGTAGTGCGGCGCGTAGGAGCTGTAGGGCCCGTAGTTGAGGTACAGCACTGCGGGGGAGGAGCCGTCAGCGCCGGGACCGGACGGCGGCCGGGCCTGCGTTAGTGAGCACCCCTCCCTCCGCCTTCACTGCTTCCCCGGCTGGTGCACAGACCCTGGCAGACACCCCCCACAGATGCTCGTGAAGTAGCAACTCCAGTGAACTTTCCCCACCCCGGGGAGAGCAAGTGAATAAAGCTTCTGAATACAATACACGATGCTTCAGTCTCTCGGAAGCCAGTAACTAATTAAAGTTGCAGAATACCAGCCAAGGCAAGAACAGAGCCATAACTGGTGACTGTCCGAGCGGGCGCTCACCCGGGGCCACTCGGTTCCTTTTGTCCTCCTTGAAGCCCTGCAGCGTGTTCACGCCGGACTGCAGCCGCCCCGTGGTCATGCCTAGCCGCACCGGGCAGTAGCCGGGCTCTGAAACGGAAGATGGCACAGTGAGGCGGGTGCTGAGGCGGCGAGCCGAGTGGCACTCTGCAGCACGGGCACACAGCTTCATGCCATCTCCGTGACCGAGAGAAGGGGGAGCCTTCACAATCTCCGATTTTAACATGAACCTGAGCTCAGAAAGGCTGGATGTGGCCAGGACCCAAACCTGGTCCTCAGCACGCCTGGCAGCTTCCTGGAGTTCAATCCCGTCGTGTTGCTTTAAAGAAAGACGGAGGAGTTGGGCCTGTTAGGTTATGATGGAAGCAAGCCACCCAGAAGGAACAGCAGTGGGAACCAGCCGGCACAGACGCGGCCTCTGTGAGTCAGCAGCCAAGCCCAGGGCACCGGACTGAACTGAGCAGAGGGCTGAGCAGGGCGGTGCTGGGAAGGCCATGCCCAGGGACCGGAGCTCCCTCCTGGACCAGAGCCCGGCCTGATTTTGTACCGGACGGCCCTGCAGCACGGGTCCTGCGCAGCCAACCAGTGACAGATAAGACGCAGTGAGAAGCTCCATCCACAGCGCACCTCTCCTCGGGAGGCAGCCTGCACTGGCACCCTGCTGGGTACCACATCCCCACAGGAAGAGGAGAAGCAGAGAGAGAAGCCCTGCCGGGTACCGCATCCCCACAGGAAGAGGAGAGAGAAGCAAAGGGGCATCTTCTATCCACACCCGGGAGGGGGCGCGAGGAGCCGCCAGCTCTGGCCACTTTGCGGCTGTCCGCAGGGGCTGGAAACCTGGGGGTCCGGACGGGGAGCCCAGACCCCCGGCTACAGAGAAAGAAGGGGCAGATCTCACTGTGGCCACATCGTTAATTCATCTCCTCAGGCAGCTTCACCACAGCTGGACTCAAAGAGCAACGGTCTCCACCCGGGAGCAGCTGCTTTGGACCAGGACCATGTACATTCCGACCACAAAGTCCGAGAGGCGTTCCGCTTCCAACGCGCAGCACCAGCCTCTCCCGAGGGGCGGGGCCTGGAGGCCTCCAGGCAGAAAGCATGCGATCGCCTGACTTCCGGCGGCGCCTCCGCTCCTCCCTGCTCCGGTCTCCCCAGTGCTCCCTCCCTCACCTTCCTGGGACCAGCCTACACACGCCCTGGCGGGGACGCCCTCTGACCCCGAGGCCCAGGAGGCAGAGCCGGCACAGTGCGGGGACAAGTGCCACCTCCACGTGTAAACTGCTGGCGCCCACAGGGCAGAGGGAAGAGCCTGGTCTCTCCTGCTCCCCACTACCCACCGGCCGCCCCAGCTGCCCACAGTGGAAAATAAGCAATAGCGACATCTCCTGAAATACAGGAATTCTGTTGTCTTCATTTTAGGATCCCCAATGACCTCTCTCATAATGGCAATATGAAAATGGGTATTTACAGCCCTAACTGGTTTTGCTCAGTGGATAGAGCGTCAGCCTGCAGACTCAATGGTCCCTGGTTCGATTCCGGTCAAGGGCATGTACCTTGGTTGCGGGCACATCCCCAGTGGGGGGTGTGCAGGAGGCAGCTGATCGATGTTTCTCTCTTATCGATGTTTCTAACGCTCTATCCCTTTCCTTTCCTCTCTGTAAAAAATCAATAAACTATACTAAGAAAAAAAAAAGAGAACAATTTATCTGAAAAAAAGAAAAAAAAGAAAATGGGTATTTACAAAATAAACTAACATTCTCACAACTGCGTATTAGAGTACCTATTTCCGCTCAGATCAATGATAAGATCAATATTTTTATATCAAATTTCCTATATGATTTCCAGTAAAATATCATCTGAGAAAATAAGACAGCCGAAACCGGTTTGGCTCAGCAGATAGAGCGTCTGCCTGCGGACTGAGGGGTCCCAGGTTCGATTCCAATCAAGGGTATGTGCCCTGGTTGCAGGCACATCCCCAGTGGTGTGTGCGCGAGAGGCAGCTGATTGACGTTTCTCTCTAATTGATGTTTCTGACTTTCCCTCTACCTTCCTCTCTGTAAAAAAATCAGTTTTATATATATATAAAAAAGAAAATAAGAAAAAAAGAAAATAAGACTGAAGTGATAAAACGGGTTCTCGACCTTTACAAACCCCTCCCGGGCCCAGGCACAGCTGCCGGCATCTGCGCGAGTGCCCCTGAGGGCAGCAGCAGCGCGGCCCGCACCCCTTCTTCACGGAAACGCGGAGCTATGTCAGAATCGGAGGGTTCTGAGAAGCCAGGGGAAATCACTGAGCTCCAGGCCTCGCTACAAAGCAGGGCTAGAAGTGATAGCCTCATGTTCTGATGGCCTCCGCCTTGCCGGGTAGAGAAAACGTGACCTGTGTAACATGTTAGGAGGAGGAGAAAGGGGGCGGCCAGCTGTCCACAGGAGACACGCTGTCTAGCCAGTTCATCAGACAATGACACAGGAGACGGGTCACCACTCGGGCTGGTGCCGAATGGCACAGGTCCTCTCCCTGCCCACAGCAGCTCCTGGTCTGAGCCTGTGAACCCACCTCCGACAACGGGGTCCACGGGGTGCAGCAGTCCCAGCGTCGTCGTCCCGTCTGGCTTTCTCCTTTCAAATTCACACTGTAACGACCAGAGATTCACACGCATAAGCGGCTGTGTGTGTGTCACATCCGCATCCCACATGACAGGCAGCCTTCCTGTGGCCCCATGACTGGTAGCCAGCACAGGACACGCAGACCCGCCTCACACCCGCCTCCTGTGCACAGGTGCTGGCGGCTAAACTAAGGATGGTTCCAGAAATGGCAGGCTGGGCAAGGCCACCTGGTCCTGCCTCCTCTGCTTAAACGGGAGGAACTGAAGATCAGGAAGGGGAGGTGACCTCCCTAAGTCATGTATGAAGCCACCCGGTGTGAAACCAATGCCCACACAATACGATTCCCAAAGACCACAGTATGTTTCGTAAACATGAGAGCAGCGGCTCATTCTGATTTCAGACGCGGTGAAACCCAGCAGGAGAGGGTAAGGGAACCAGGTAACTGAGAGTGGTGCTGGGGCCTGAGGCAGTGTGACTGGAAGTAAAGGGCCTTAAACACACGCTCAGACACCGGGTCAGCGGTCACCTGACTGTTCGCCAGCCGCCGGGTCAGCTTGCCCCCGGACTCGCGCACCAGGCGGTCGATCTGCTCCTGCTCCCTCTCCAAGAGCTGGCTCTTCACCTTCTCGTCCAGCGCGTCCCTGTCCTTCCTGGGAGCACACGGCGGCAAGTGGGGAAGAAGGTAAGGTGGAAACATGGAGACGGGAGACGAGCTGTTCCCAGTTAGCGCCGGGAGGCCCGTGCGTGCAGCCCCAGACCTGGGCCAGCTCCTCGCTGGGGGCCCAGCGTCATTTGCCTTAAACGCGTTTCCCAGCACACTCGCAAAAAACCGAATCTACCCAAAGTGTATTTTGAAGGGAGAGAAATTTTTTTTTTCAAGTTTCACTTTTCATAACTTTTAAAGTTACAAATCAGAAACAGAACGAAAACTTGTCATAGTTTACTTTGCGTTGTGGCAGCAGAAACCCCAAACTGCTAATGCGAACCCTCTTCCGGGCGGACAGGGAGGGGCGGGGGGGGGGGGGCCGGGGGGGTCCCTGCTCCTCGGCTGACGGCTGGTGAACATGTTCATGGCCACTCGACAGCCGCCCCTTTCAGAAGCAGCTTCAGCTAAGCTGTGCTGAGGCTTACCCACTGTCTCTGCTCCTTTATGGACACAGCACTGAATGCAAACAGCCCTCCACAAACAGCCCGACTTCGAGAAACGCACGGACACAGGTCCCTCAGGAGGACATGCTGCTTAAAGCCAGGCTCTAAGAAGGCGCCCTCAGGGCTGGGTTCTGACTGTGAGGGGATTGCACATGCGCCTGGCAGGGATGAAGGCATCCACCTCCAATGGACTCTCATGCCCAAGCCCGCCGCCCCAGGCAGGGGGCTGGCTCCCCCCTATACCCCCGCACCAGCTTGGACAGACCACTGAACTGTGACCCTGACCCTGTAAAGGCTCCTTACTTCCTGTTCTCCTTGTGGGGACTCTTGAAGGCTTGTGCGTCGGTCTCGCCTGCGTCCTCCCTCTCCGCCGGCCAGCGGCCGCTGTCCTCCCCGCTCTGCGAGGCGTCTGCCCTGTCCTTCTGCTTCCGGCTCTTCTGCAAGTCGGCCATGAAGTCTATGCTCTGCTTCAGGCTCTGGATCCGCTCCTGAGGGCGGTCAGAGCACGCTTAGGCATGTCTGTCAGGAACTTTTATCGGAAGGCACTCTTCCTCACAGAGCTGGCATTTATCTTGTCATTAACCCGGGAGAAGCGCGCTCAATGTGACCGCACCCAGAGTATGAGACTCAGGAACCAGACAACAGCTTAGCCTTCCATTCAGACGACGGCACTTCCAACCTGAGAGAACCCTTGGAACTTGACCGTGTCATCGAATAGCTCACAGAGGACACTTGGAGAAAGACTTCCCTGCAGCACTGAATTTAAAAGGCGGGACTGGGTTTCACGGCATGTTCAACTCTATAATGAACAGAATGGCTTAGCACTGAAGTTTAAGAATGAGCAGTACTAAGACCTCCAGCCCGCGCACACAGGCCGGCTCCGAGGACTGGCCCTCGGGACGGTCCCAGCGACCCTGGCAAATAGCCTCCTGGGACCGAGGGGCCACGCAGCTGCTTCCCGGAGCGCAGAGCGTCCCGCCCACCAAGGAAATCTTGCTTCTGCTGCGTCCACCCTGCCTAACCTCCCCCCGCACTGAGAAGCTGTGTTTGCTGCGGCAGGGGCTGGAGGACCTGGAAGACCTGCTCCTCATGCTGCCTTTGCTGTGAACTCTGAGCCTTGTCACCGGTGAAATATGGAGGGCGGACTCCGTGGGGACGCATGGCAACGGCAGGGAAGGCTTCACAGAATAATAGGAACTAGGAGGACCAGAGGTCATGCAAATAAGAATAATGAAGTCAGGACCATGAGTGACTCATCAAGGGTCACAGAACCGGTGAGAGAGCAGGCTGGGCCTCCTGCTACCATGCCTGTACCAGAGGTGCAGCCTGGAAGCCTCAGGGAAGCGGACCCGCTGTGGAACTTATTTTAAAGTCATCCTACACTCCTCACCTAATGTACTGTACTGCACACAGATACGCATAGAGGAGAAAATAAAAGCCTCATTAATGTATTATCTAGCCCCGTGGTCGGCAAACTGCAGCTCATGAGCCACATGCGGCTCTTTGGCCCCTGGAGTGTGGCTCTTCCACAAAATACCATGGCCGGGGCGAGTCTGTGTTGAAGAAGTGGCGTTAGAAGTTTAAAAAATTTGGCTCTCCAAAGGAATTTCAATTGTTGTCCTGTTGATGTTTGGCTCTGTGGACTAAGGAGTTTGCCAACCACTGATCGAGAGGAACAGGTCACAGAGCCTTGCAGTGACCGAGTCAGGACAGACCCTAATTAGTCTGACCTACTGTGCGGCCAGTAGTACAGTTTGTACGGGAGGCAGCCTTTGGAATTTATTTAGGTGATCAAGAGTTATTCTACACATGCCCATTCTTTATAAAGACGACATCTCCCCTCCCTGTGTCTGTAACTGAAAAACAACGAAAGGCGCTCTACACCCGTTTCCCGCGAACACTGAGGCCCCACTCCGGAAGGCGTGCTGGCTCTCCCGGGAGCACTGCCTGGGAGGAGTACGCTTGGGTCTAAACTGAATCACATCGCGTAAATCACTGTGGTAAGGATCCCTCCCATCTGGGGTGGAGAGACATCAACAGGAAGCTATCACACAGGATGGGTAGGGCTCAACAGGAAGAGGTCTGAGAAAAAGGAGATAACAGAGAAGGGAAAGGGAGAAGAAACTACTTTCTGGGCCTCCATCACCTCACCCTGTAAGCGCCAGGGGATGCTGGAAGCGTCGCCTGTCACAGTAACTCATGCTTACAGACAGACAGTGATGGCGGGGGGGGGGGTGAGCCACACTGATAAGCTGCTGTGCTGTGCCAGCCTGTGCGGCACACTGTCTCCCGAGATTCACGTGACAGTGTGGGGAGAGGCTGCACCGACAGCAGCGCTTTCCTCCATGGCCGACGACGAGCATCGAGGGTTTGCACCGGGGACACAGCTTGGTTCGTCCTCCGAGTCTTTCTGCCAAGACCGGGATAAACACTTTACATTCTCTTTCCTCGGCAGATTTTGCCCAAGATGGGCAACTGGCTTACATCACAGTCTCCTAAGTCTTTAGGCGAGGACGGGAACTGCTGTCTAAATATTGGGAGTGCGAGAATTAATTGTCAGCCCAAATGTTTCTCTCCCTGTGAAGGGGATCCAAGAACCTTTCAGCGCCCAGCAGACACAGACATGTGCACACGGCGGCCTGCTATGTGCAACCGACAAGATGCGCCCTCACAGCTGAGAAACACGTGCCGCCATGCCTCCCTCCTGCTGTCCGATCTCAGCTCTGAGCTCCGGCTTTCCTCCTCCTGCTGTCTTGCACCCACACGTTTCTTCTTTGCACAAACCCCTCCTCTCCTGGCCAGTCTCCCCCCCACACCAGGCCTCCCCGCACAGCGGCGATGACCTTGGCGGGCACAGGCCACACCTGCTCTGGGGATGAGGACCGGCTCATGTCCTGCCCGAGGCCCAGGAGTCAGTGGGCAGAGCTCACACTGGCCCCGTCTCCGCTCCTGCTGTGGGGAGGTGCCGACTTCCCATCCCACTCAGAGCTGGGAGCCAAGCCTCTGAGATGGGACTTATCCTCCGAGATGGGAGCTCCCGTCTCTCCAACAGCCATCGCCTCAGTTTACCCTCCAGCTGTCCTCAGCCCTCGTCCCAGATGACACCACACCATTTCCTGCCGCTGTGGGCAGTATTTCTCCCCCTCGGAGCCTGTCCCTCTCGGGAGGGGCAGCTCCCCGTCAGCGCTCCTTTGTCTTTCTCCTCCGGGGTTCCTGTGGGGCCCACGTCAGCTCCCAGCCCCACAGGGAGGAGCACTTCCTCCTGCCGGCTCCCACTCACACCCTCCTCCTGGACTGCAGGCTCCCTGGTGAGTGCCCATCTAAGAGCCTCGCGTAAGGAATCACAAGTGAGCACCGATATCTATCCGCATCAATCCCAACGAGAACCTTCCTGCTTCATTTTCTTCTCCATTAACCAGAATTTTTCATTGGATATTTCAACTTAAACACGATCTGCCTAAACAATAAGACCAATACTGAACTGGACTGGTATTATTATGACAAAAAAACAAAGAAATACCACTTTTATAATAATTAGTATTTGTGACAAAGAAATTTCCTTACCTGGCTAAGGATTTTCATTCCTGAGTGTAATAGCTTCTTTGCAGCTTTATAATAAATGGTCTCTGGTTTGTTGTAAATCATAGCATTAGTACACATAAGCTTGAAGTTATCCTGCAGAGAGAATATTAAGGGGAAAAATGCATTAAAACAAAACGAAGTACCCTTCTTTCTTGATTTGAAATCATACAGGCCTTTGAAAAATTAAAATAAACATCCTGCCCTCTCCTTTTATGTTCACTGAAGAACATTAATAGCAATTTATTAAGTTTTAAAACTCACAAATACTGCTAAATTAATTTAAATATCCTACATTCTTTTCTAAATACTTGAAACATTTTGTAACTATATAAATTTTATGCATCAAGATGAAAATTTTTATCTTACTGAACAAAAAAGAAATAGAAGAAAATACTTCTAATATATATTTAATAGAATAATTTTAACTAAGTAGTTAATTTAATTAGAAATGCTATTCTTAGTTTAAAAAAATCTTCAGTTACTATATATTTATGAGTTATATTTTCAGATCTTGACCGAGAACAGGGAACAGGGCTGAATTATCACATTATTTCCTACTAAATCCAAATCAACTGAGCAAAAATGTTACAATGCTCACACATTTATGCTTACCTATTTGAATGCTATTACAAGCTAAACATAATTTCTAGAATGTTGCAAAATCATGCCAATGTGAAATAAACCATACAACCTCAAAAAGCTGAAACATGTAAATGGAGGAGCCAAATGACCCCAAATTACACTTCTGGTTTAAATTTCAAAGTACACAGATATGCCGGAGAAGCAATTCCACAGCACGTTTTCATGGGTAATTTTTACATCACATAAATGTGAGCGATTATGTCAAGCCCTTACTAAACTGATCAAAATTGAACAAAAAAAGGATCTGCTGCCCCTAACAAACTCCTCCAAATCAAAACGCTCGAACCCCACTATTTAATAAATAAAGTGGTGACAGCCGAGAACAGTCACATGGACGAAAAGAGGTGCTGAGCACTTTTTACCACGAGAAGACTGAGTGAAGGGTCCTAATAAGTCGGCATTAAATTCAAAGGGGACGAAGCTCCTGGGGGCCTCGGCCCCGCCCAGTCGCTTACCACCAGGCTTTTACTGGACTTGCGCCTCCGAGAATGTGATGGCAGCCACCGCCCACTTGTCCTTCCTGCCTGTGCGTGTGTGTACATGCACACGCTGGAGCGGACCTTTCCATGTAATGTTAGTGGGTTCCCAGTCCCCCCCATGGCTACCCAAAGGACCCCAAGCGAAGCACCCTTGGCACAGATATTCCGGGAAGCTTCCATTCCATTAAGAACAATTAAATGCTTAGTGGGGAAGAAGGGGTGGGGAGGGGAGAGACGCATGGCCGTTATTCATGCTCAATGAGCCCGGGATCCCCTGAGCGCAGCGCCCTGTGGCGCCAGGGCCTTCAGGACGGCCATGTGCAATGGCACTGGGTGGTCTGAAAAGCGGAATGGCCCTCCCGCGCACTTTTCACGTAAAACCCGAACAGCCTAATGAGGTGGATAAGCTAATAAGTATTACTTTGGGTTGCTGAAAAGGCAAACATGTAGGAATAGAGAAAACTCTAAAGAGTTAAAAATACTTGTGCATTTTAATTATGATAAGCCTAAGGCTTTTGCTCAAAAACACTCAGGGGCACTCGTCTCTCTCCTGTCATCACAGACAAAGATGAGAGGAAAACTGTTCACTAAGAGAAAAAACAAAACTGTTAAAAGATTTTTTCCATTGAGCAACAATCAAGTTGGAAATATGCTGAAATAAACAGTTCCAGCCTAATTTTCACCAGATGAAAAGTTTCCATTTCTCTAAAGACACAGGAATGCAATCCCAGGTTTTCCGAGTGGTGGGATATGATCTATGCGTTCAAAACGGATAGTAAGATAGAATGCAACTCGGGTGTTATTCACAACTCAGCTGACCGTCATGTGGATGAAAAAAAAGAGCAAGTAAAGATACAGTTTACTGTCGGATTTCCCTTTTACAGCTGATTAGGTTAGAAGCACACTGTGATGCTTATGCAGAAAAAATACAGGCAAAACAGACATCCAAACGGGTTTGGTCTGTGGTGGTTTGGCAGAAAGCGAATTTAAAACACGTGGTTCCTTTTCCGAGGAAGATGAAAAGAAAAGTATCGCCTCTCAGTCCACAGATCCCAAGATTGTAAAGACAGGGAAGACTTCAACTGTGGCACCAGGCATGGATGTCACGTGGGTGGCTTGTAGGTCCTTTACCTGCAAGTTATTAATTTCCTTCCTTCTACAGTTGAAGGAAATATGCTCAACAAATAGTGCCAGAGTGTCTCAGAGAGCAAGTGACTTCACTGGAGTAGCATTTCTGAGCCAGCCCAAGTACTCTCTCTGTGAGAAGACAGGCACACCTGAGGTGTCCATTAAAATATCAATGTTGCCTGCATCGATCTGAAATTGAAAATCAAGTATCTCCTCATGTTAACGGTTGAGAAAATACACTGGAGAATATATGAAATTCAAAATTTTGTGAAAATCCCCCAAATGATAAAAGATAGCAGATGGCTTATTTAATCTGGTTTTGAACCTCCAAGCTCAAAAATGTTTTCAAAGACAAAAATATACAAAGATTTTTGGATTTTAAAATAAACTTAATTCTTTACAAAACAAAAGTTCAATTAGAAAGACTCTAAATACCAGATATGAAGGTTTCTACCAATATTTTATATATATATATATACAGGATCCAAGAGCTCGACTCCCAAGCAAATAAAGAGAAGTTACTCTGTGTCATCGCTATTATTTGTCCAATCACAACACAAACAGCTCTAGTCACCTTCAGTTCCTCTATGGACTGGTAGTCATTGTTCTTGATTTTCTCTTTCATGGTGCTGAAATCCATTGGGTGCTTAATGATCATGGAGTAGCCAGGAGCAATGAAATCAGTTACAGGAAACGAAAAGAAAGCACTCGGGTCTTTTCTGGGAAGATATAAAAAAAAGGCAATTTTACTTTTTTACATCTACTGGTTTAAGAGCAGAAGCCAGAGGAAACCATTCAGATGTAGAAAGAGTCTGTAATATGCTAACATGTTTCCCGCTGAAAACTACAGAGATAATTGTAAAGACTAATAGCTATTTAATAACAAGGTGAAGATGTTTTACGTAATAACTGAACTCTTGTACAGAGAGTCTTTTAAAATATGCAGGTTAAGTTAATTAGTAGCACATCCCACACAGGGAAAAATGAAACAAAATAAAGACCCAGCTTAACTGAGCAGTGTCGTGGTCTTTGGAAGATTAGTACTATGTATTTTTATCAACCACAGGGGAAAAGGCCAAAATAGTAACTGTGAATGCACACCTGTGCAATCTTCCATATGGTTTCTAACTACTGGCTTGGACGCAATTATTACATTCCTGTGAACGTGTGTATTTTGACTGCTATCGTGTGGGTGTGAGTGTGTGTATGTGTAGGTAGGTAGAGGTGTGTTAAAAAAATGACATTAAAAAGCCCTCATAATACTCTAAACTTGAGACAGTGTTTTCTATCACAGGCTCTCAGTTCTTACTGGAGGAACTTTATAAAAATGCCAATGGGCCAGGGAAGGCTGACCCCAGACCCTCGGCATCAGAATCGCCTGAGGAAGGATACTGGTATTTCTGGGTTGAGAACTGGTGCTGGTACTGGAGCATTTGGCACTGGTATTTCCAGGACTGACCGGGCCGAGAACCATTGTTTTATATAATTAGCTCATCAGAGTGACTTTTTTTTCCTCTGGAAATTTGGCATACTAAAATTTTCTGATTCTAAATCATCGTAACAATAAAAAATGGCTTAGAAACCAACAATGGCAGTGACTATCAAAATGTATTCACCACATACCAGGCCTGGGACTTGATGTATTTCATACCGAATCCTCACAAAGCCACCCAGGAGGTGGCACCCTCACTTGGAGATGAGCTCACTGAGACTCGGGGCTCAGATCATTCGTTCTAGGTCACAGTCTGACAGGAGAGTTAAAATCGGAAGCAGGCCTGTGAGAATCTGCCTTTGTTCTTCCGAGCCCGATGCCCAAGCAGAGACTGATACACGAGATAAAGCAGAAGCATGCTGTCCGGGCCTCACACGTGCAGGCGGGGCTGCCCACAGCAGTTACTGTCAGCAGCGGCACAGCCGTCCGGGAGGGCCTCTGCAGAGGAAAGCATCTATGCCTCCGAAGATCAGTCATTATTTAATGGAGAGCCCCCTTGGTGGCATTCCCAAACTGATCACCTGCATTCTTAAGATGCCCGCCCTGCCCCTGGGAACCCTCTGCCAGCGACATGTCTTCCAGCTAACAGCTGGAATTCTGAGTAAAGGCAGGTATCAGATATTTTAGTAAAGACTGACTTATTCTTTTCCCTTTTACAAACTTAACACTGGTTTGAGCTAGATACTGAATTTTTTAGAACAAATTCCTGCATTTAAAAGTGTCCAAATCCTATTTATAGTATTCTGCCCCAGACTTAGTAATTGCTGAACTTTCACAGTATGATAAGCGCTGCACAAGCACACAGAAGGTATTTTTATCTATTAACCAAGTGGAAATATCTGTATTGTTTATTCCCAGTTTAAGGCTTGAACATCAGAAGTGACTTCAGATGAAAAGAAATCTGCCATTAAGAATATTACGTAACACTCTCCAAGCTGCCAGTTAAAACAAACCAAATGAGAACATCTAAGAGCCAGCCTCTTGGAGGGCTGCTATTGCCAGGCAAAATATTTATCATCCACTTTAAAATCAAGTACGTTTGGATGGGAGCCACAAAATGTGGCTTTAAATAATCAAAACAGCAAAGTGTTTTGGAGACTATCTTTCTCCTTTCAATTTCCATGTTACAAACGGACTGGAAAACCCATTTACCTCTGCAATTGTCTCATCAGTTGGTTCAAAGCTTCTTGAAGGGGCGTCTGTTCTACTTCTAAAGCAGAGAAGGAAAAGAGCACTTTAAAAAGGAAGGTTCAGCTTAGCTTCTTTCCTTTCTATAGGACTTATTCATATCCATCATTCAACACCTCACACAGAAATTCCATTCGCCTTATAAATAAGTACGACTTCAAAACTGAAGCTGGTTTAAAGCTCTTTTGCATCAGAGAAAGAAGAAAACTTAAAAAATTCCATTAAAAAGCGTTTAAACTTGAGCTTAACTTGAAAGCTGGAAACCCGGTGCCTCCCCCTGGCTGTGCCAGCCCCCCCACACAGGACAGCTCCCGTTATGCTGACCTTCCTGCTTGGCTACCGAGCTCGAGAGTGGCTTCTCAGGAGGCAGGTCCAATCGCACAGGCGCCTGGCACTGGAGGTCCTCTTCTGCCTCATTCTCCCCACGGTCCCGATCGCGCTTCTTCCTATCCTCCTAAATGGAACGAAGGGAGGTAATTTAGAAATATTTTAGAATACCTTTAAACTAAATCATCTTAATCTCAGTGGAAAAAAATAGGGAGCCCCTGAAAATTCTTTTAAAAAATCTTCATGTATTTTACTGCCATCTACTGGAAAAGGAGAAAATCATATGTTCACAAAGGGAAGGAAAAGTGATTTGACAGTATAGGCAGGAATTAACCGCTTTGAAGATAACACTATTCCTCCTAAAAGCAAGATAACATACGTAGGAATAAACCTAATAAAAATGCCTAATACATTTTGGGAAAAGTTATGAAATGTTACTGAAAGCACACTGTGGAAGCCCCGAATACAGGAAATATACCATGTTCATGACCTGAAAGACAGCCAGTTCTCTCCAGTTATCTGTAAATAAGATGCAATGCCAATCAAAACTGTAAGATGGAATTTTTCATGGAATCTGACAAGCTTATCTTGTAGGTCAAAATCGAGAACAGTCAGGACAGTTGTGAAAAAAGTGACGAGAGAGTCATATCAGGTACACACATCTGTATAAAGTAACAGTAATTAAGACAATGTCGGTCTGACATAGGGACAAACAGTCCAAGAGGACAGACTGTGGAGCCCAGAAACAGACGCACACATACAGCAAGTTTGGGCATAGCACAGAGGTGGCATCGTGTGATTAAAGACAACAGAGGAGTCAGTGCGGGGGACTAGTTGTCTGCAGGAAAAAGAAAAATGAATACAGGTTCTATCTCACACCGTACACAAAAGTCAATCCCAGGTACAGTAGACCGAAATGTACGCAGCAAATCTTTACACCTTCCGATAAAAGAATCTTCATGACTCAAAGAGTAGAAAAAATTTTTCTTCCCCACAAACAAAGCTAAAGGCTAGCTATCGACAGTATTTGCAACACAAACAACTCGAAGTACTAGCGAAAAATCCCCAGAAAACCCCTGAAATGGCAGGAAATTAGCTCAAGCTGCCTAGACCTCCAGGAACTATAAATGTAAAAACTAGAAGGCATTTCACGTCTCTGACTAGCAAAAACTAAGATGTCTGTAAAGGCACGTTCTGATGACAATGGAGAGAAATGGGCTCTCCTGCCTTGCGGATGGGAGTACAAGGCACAGCCATCGGCAGAACAAGGAACAGCATCTAGGAAGGCTAAGGCTCCGCAGCACTCCTCCTCCTGGCACACCCCCAGGGAAACGTCTTTTCACAACGTACCCTCCACCCTGGCAACATGGAAGTGGGTGCACTTCTATCAGATTTCCTCCAGTAAACGCCTTACTGTTTTCCACCTCCTGTCGAGAGTCCGGAACGGGGCGGGCTGCAGGTAGGCACTGACCTATGACACTTTACCAGGGGATCCGAGCACCTCTGGAAGTTGGTATCCTGGGGGGTCCTGGAACCAGTCCCTCCTGGATACCAGGGGACAATTTAAGTTTCTGGAAAGTCAGGTTGCACGCAGATTTTTGACTGCAGGAGGGGTGTGTTGTTCAAGGGTCAGCTGTCTACAAAAGTGTTTACTGCAGCCCAGGCTGAAACACTTAAAAAAAAATCAGAAACAGCCCCTTGCCTATTCTGGGGAGACGGATCCTGCGTGTGGCTTATTTCCGAGGACATAGCAGGTGAAGTGAAAAGGCTGTAGGGACACGGAGGTGAGCGGCCACGGGAGGGAAGTTACTACGGTTTTGCTCAGCTTGCAGACCAATGGTCAAGAAAATGCTTATTTTTATTCATGTCCTATCCCTTGAAGATCCTGATCCAATTTTCTCTTCGACAGACAAAATCGCAGTTTTATTTTTCAAAAATATATTTTATTGCCAAAAACGATTTGGCTCAGTGAATAGAGTGTTGGCCTGAGGACTGAAAGGTCCCGGGTTTGATTCCGGTCAAGGACATGTACATTGGTTGCAGGCACATCCCCAGTAGGGGGTGTGCAGGAGGCAGCTGATCGATGATTCTCTCTCATCGATGTTTCTGACTCTCTATCCATCTCTCTTCCTCTCTATAAAATATCAGTAAAATATATATTTAAAAAAAATATATATTTTATTGATTTTTTTACAGAGCAGAAGGGAAAGGGGGAGATTTAGAAACATCGATGAGAGAGAAACATCCATCAGCTGCCTCCTGCACAACCCCCACTGGGGATGTGCCCGCAACCAAGGTACATGCCCTTGACAGGAATCGAAGCTTGCCCTGACCGGCTTGTCTCAGTGGATAGAGGGGTCCAGGGTTCGAGTCCAGGCAAGGACACATGCCTCGGTTGCAGGCTCCATCCCCAGTGGGGGGCATGCAGGAGGCAGCAGATCAATGATTCTCTCTCATCTCTCTCTCTCTCTTCTCCTCCCTTTCTCTATGAAAATAAAGAAATGTATTTTTTAAAAAGTAAAGGGTGGAAGCTGCCCGTTCAGTAAGTGGCACCCGGAGTACTTTGTGCACCTGCGGGTCCGGGATCGAGCCCAGGTGGGCCGGGCTCCTCCCCGCGGTGCGCGCACCCGGAGGGGAATTGCTCGGAGCTGAGGCTCCGGGCCGGTGTTCCCACTCGGCCTGCGCCTCTCGCACAGGCGCCTTCAAAAGGCGGCCGGGCTGCGGGCTGCGGGCTGCGGGCTGCGGGCTGCGGGCTGCGGGCTGCGGGCTGCGGGGCCGGAGGCGCCGGGCCGGGGAGGCGGGCGGGCGGCGCCGGGCGGGCCCTCACCTTCACGCGCCGGCGCTTGCGGCCCTTCTCCTCGCCGGGCGCCTGCCGCTCGCCCTTCTTGCGCTTCTTGCGCTTGCGGTCGCGGTCGCGGTGCTTGTCGTGCTCGCTCTTGTCCTCGAAGAGGCTGGAGTCGTGGCCGGAGCTGCCGGTGGAGAGCTCGGTCACCTCGCTGCCGCCCACCTTGAGGACCAGCTTCAGCGGCTTCTCCACATAGTCTGGGGAGGAGGGAGCGGCCGGTTCAGGGGGCCCGGCCGGTCCCCGGGGCGGGGGACGGGGGGCCCGGCGGCCGGTCCCGGTGCAGAGCGGCCGGTCCCCGGGGCGGGGCCGCGGGGCGGGGGACGGGGGGTCCCGGCGGCCGGTCCCCGGTGCAGAGCGGCCGGTTCAGGGGGCCCGGCGGCCGGTCCCCGGGGCGGGGGGCGGGGGGTCCCGCCGGGCGGTCCCCGGTGCAGAGCGGCCGGTCCCCCGCCGGGGCGGGGGACGGGGGACCTGGCGGGTGGTCCCCGGGGCGGGAGGCGGGGCCGATGGTGCCGGGCACGCAGGGGGCGCCCCGGAGCACCTGCTGAGAGACGGGCACCCGCCGAGGGGCGCCCCGAACGCCGCCCGGCCGCTCAGGACCGTCTCCCGCGGGGGCCGGGGGTCTGGGGTCCCGCCCCGCCCGGGTCCGCCGCGCCCCGGGGTCCGGCCTGCCCGGGGAGGCGGCCCGGCCGCCGCGGGCGCGCGAGGGGGGTTGGGGTGAGAAGCCCCGCCCGGCCGCGGCCTCCTCACCCTCGTAGAGGCGTTTGTCCGACTTGTGCTTCTTGTGCTTCTTGCCCATGTCCGCCCGGGCCCCGGAGCCCGCCCCCCGCGCCAGGCCCAGGCCGTGCGCCGCCGCTTCCGGTCCGGGCCGGGCGGGCGGAGGGCGGGAGCGGGGCCCGCGAGGCGCGGCGCCGCGAGGCAGGGGGGCGGCGCGGGGGCGGCGGGCGCGGGGGCGGCGCGGGGCCCTCGCGGAGACGCGGCGAACGAGACGAGACGCGGCCGCGGCGGCGCGAGAGCGGCAGCGGCGGGGCGGCGAGCGGCGGCGGCGGGCGCGGAGGCGGGAGAGAGGGCCCGCGGCGCGCGCGGGGAGCCGGCGGCGGCGCGTGGCGGCCCCTGGCGGCGGGAGGGGGCGCTGCAGCCTGCGGGCCCCGGGGGGCGGAGTCCGGGCTGGGGGCGGGGAATGGGCGGGGCCACTGCTCTGAATGGTCTCTTTCTTCTGTCACTCTCCCGCCTCTCTCTTTGGCTCCGCCCTCTTTCTCCCCTCCCTGTCTCTCTCCACCTCTCTTAAGTTCTAGGTCCCCCTCTGGTCTGTTTCTCTCCTCCCTCCACATCTGTTTCTGTTTCTTTTCCTCGCTGCATATTTTCCCTCCTTTCTCTCTCACCTCCTTTCTCTTTTCTCTTTCCTCTCTCCCTTTTCTCCCCCTTTCTCTTTCCTCACTCCCTCCCCTCTTCCTTCCTTTGCCTTTTCTTTTCATCACCCTTCCTCCTTTCCTCCCACCCCACTTTCCCTTTCCTCTGTCCTCATTGCACAGTATTTATGGAGCCCTGTACTGGCTGCCAGATCCAGCAAAACCCACCGGTAGCTCTCGTCTGATTGTCTGGGAGCTGGGACATGTATCTTCTCCTGCCTGGACCTGGCTTTCTTGGTTCAGACATGGACTGGAACTATCACTTTGGCTCTCCTTGGTTTCCTGCTTTCCAAATGCAGATCTTGGGACTTCTCTGTCATAATCATGAATCAATGATTTATAATGAGTCTATAGATAGATATAATATGCTATCGGTTCTGTTTCTTGGAGAACTCTGACTAATACACCACCCAACATTGTTGAAGGAGCCAGAGCAGAGCCCAGACAAGTAGAGAGGAAAGATACAGAGCTTTGAACCTCATAGGATTGAAGTTTTATACTGTAGTAGACAAAATTTTAACAATTGAAAGTGAAAAGGATGTTATGGAATATACCTAAGATGCTGTTTCAAAGCATAAAGAAAGAACTGATTGAGTATAATTGGGACTTGGGAGTAGCATTTTAAATAAATCAAAACATTTCATGTTTATACTCCAAGTTGAAACACTTCAATAACCTAGTTACACACCTGACTTTGTCCCACGAAAAACTTAAAGTGATTTATAAGAAGCCATTTAATACAATAAAAAATAAAAATGAGGATGAGAAAAAAAAACAAAAACCAAACAAACAAAAAAACCCACCGGTAACTGAGGGATTCCAGCCGTAAAAATCTTGGTTCCTGGCTGGACGAGCAGCCAGCTGTCTTGGCAGCCGCCAGGGGCAAACTCCCCAAGGAAGAGGCCGCCACGAGGGGCCGGCTGAGAGATGGCAGGTGACGCGATGTTGATGCAGTGCACGGAGGACCACACGCCACAGCTCAGACCCTATGGCCTCCCCGTGAGAGCTCTGCACCTGCCCGTGCCTCCCACACACAGCCAGCGCCCCCTTCTCTCTCACAGCCCCGTGTCCTACTCGGCTCTGTTCCTCTTGTGGCTGCCCCCGCTCAAGAAGATGAGTCTCCGGGGGATCCCCCACTCTGGAGGGGGTGCCGATGTGGGAGAGGAATTGTGAAGAGAAAGTAAAAAGGGGCGAGTGTGTGGATGTTGGTGGGGTGCGTGTGATGTGCCGTGTGGAATGTGTGGAACGTGTGCGCATGTGCATGCGTGTCCTGCTTCTCGGCAGGACTCACCTCGTGGCTCCAAGGTCAGGAGATACCGTTCAGGCTTGTCTACCGGGAAAGAAAAAACCTGGGATCGGAGGTCTCCTCTCTCCTCTCTCTCTCTCTCTCTCTCTCTCTCCTCTGTTTCTCTCTCTCTCTCCTCTCTCTGTCTCTCTGTCTCTCTCTCCTCTCTCTCTCTCTCTCTCTCTCTCTCTCTCTCTCTCTCTCTCTCTCTGTGTCTCTCTGTGTCTCTCTGTGTCTCTCTCCTCTCTCTCTCTCTCTCTCTCTCTCTCTCTCTCTCTCTGTGTGTCTCTCTGTGTCTCTCTCCTCTCTCTCTCTCTCTCTCTCTCTCTCTCTCTCTGTTTCTCTCTGTCTTGGGAACCCTGTGTCTTTTTCCTCTCTGCCTGTCTCTTTTTCCTTCTCCTCCTTCCTTTGCCTCTACATGGCTCCATGTGATCATCAATCCACAATCCATAGTCTGCTCAACCGCCAATACCTGAGCTTGCTTTGGCCATGGCCTACGCCTTGTCCAATCAGCACCAGTGGCCTTGGTGCTGGGGGCGGGGCCTAGCAGAGGATGGCCAATAAAACATTCCCAATAGCTCTACCCGCTGCAGGTGGCTGCTCCAAGATTCTCAGCAGGAGAGTGCCTAGGAGCGGAGATACCAATGAAGATAAGAGCCAACAGTGCCTGAGCCTCTTTAAATCAGGAGAGGGATGCACATGCCCCTTTTATAATGAAATTGCAACGAAGTATAGAGCAAGTGCAAAAATCTTTTAAAAAAATATTTTGTTGATGTTTTACTGAGAGGCAGAGAGAGAGAGAGAGTTAGAAACGTTGATCAACTGCTTCTTGCTCACCTCCTACTGCGGATGTGCCCTCAACCAAGGTACATGCCCTTGACTGGAATTCAATCTGGGATCTTCAGTCCGAAGGCCAATGCTCTATCCACTGAGCCAAACAGGCCAGGGCCAAAAATGTTAAGTGTATTAATGGGTATTACTCCTTTTTTTACTTCTCACAGCCACCCCATGGTAAGAGATGTTTCTTCCCGTCTCCAATGTGCAGCTCTGACCACAGGCTCAGCAAAGCCCACCCGCTCGGCAAAGGAGGGGCCCCGGGATTTGAACACGGGCAGCGCCTCTCAGCACGACTGTAGACTGCTCACGCCACCCAGTCAGCTTCAGGGCGAGGGTGACCTGCGACGGGCATTCGGCAGGGAGATACACCCAGTGCCTTCCTCTCCCGGGTGCAGGAGTGTCAGTGGGAACCCCTCCAGCCTGGCTCTCCCCTGGCGGCCGCCTTCCCTCCTTCCCCATCCCGGCCCCCTGGTGTCCCCGGCAGCCGGGCCGCAGCTGCAGGTCGCCCGGGGCCCGCCTCGCCGCTCTCTGCCGTGCAGATGGTGCTTCTGCCGGGCCCCTCGTGTTCCATGCCGGTGGCCTCCGGGATCCCGGCCAGCCCAGATGTCCCCGATCGTGAGAAAGCCTCCCCTGGCCAGGCTGGCAGGAGCCGCCAGGGACGGGGCCTCGGGCCAGCGCTGGCTGGGGTCCTTTGGGGAGGGGGCTGGGCTGGAGGCTGGCCAGGCGAGGAGGCTGTGTCCTTGGTGTCCAGCCCCGCGGTGACCTGCAGAGCCAGGGATATCGCTTCGGCGTCTGCAGACAGCGAGGCTTTCAAAGGGACTTGGGACTGATCTCTGTTTCCGTCCGTGCTGTTCCATCTGACCCTCCAGCTATCTGTGGGCACAGACTGCCTCCCCCGTCAGAGGAGGTGCCCTCCCCTGACAGGGACAGTCTCAGCGGCAGGCTGGGCCACGTGTGTCCCTATCAGACAGGGAATTCTAAGACCGGCGGTCCATGTGTCTTTCCCATCAGAATGAGAGTCAGCAGTATGGGGGCGGGGGGCAAGGGGGGAGGATGTGACTCTGCTCTCTGCTCTCGGACCAGGAGTTCTGGGGTCAGGCAACTTGCACTTGAACTTTGCAGACCGGCCGTGGCTCCCCTGCCTGGGGCAGGTGTAGGCAGCGTCAGCCACAGCAGGTGCGGGAGGTGCTTGGGCGAGGAAGAGCAGCGGGAGCTGAGGGGCTCCTGGGCCTGCTGTGGAACCGGCATGATAGCTCCGTGATGATGGCTGAATGAATGAGTGAGTGAATGAATGAATGAATGAGTGAAAAGTTGGTGCCTGCCCTTGAGAAGCTCACATTCTATTAGGGAAGGATGTAATACCCACAATGCACTGAAGCTAGAAGGGGTAGAGAGCTAGAAACGTCGATGAGAGAGAAACATCGATCAGCTGCCTCCTGCACATCCCCAGTAGGAGGTGAGCAAGGTACATGCCTTTGACCGGAATCGAACCTGGGACCTTTCAGTCCTCAGGCCGATGCTCTATCCACTGAGTCATACCGGCTAGGGCCCCACTACCAACTCATAGCACGAGGACAGCTGAGTGACTGACAGGAGACGGGAACCCTCATGTCTGTTGGTGCGGGGGGTGGTGCCCTCCAAATGCCTGCCCTGCAGCTCTGTGTGTAGGGGGACTGGCTCCTTAGCTCGGTCCTGCCTCTCAGGGCGTCTCCTCCAGCTCCTCCACCTGAGCCAGCAGCGCAGCCAGGACCCGGGCTCTGCGCTCAGGGCACTGCTACCCGACAGGAAGAGAGGAAGTGCCCAGAAGGGGAGACTCTGCCCTCAGAAATATTGTTTTTGATTTCAGAGAGGAAGGAGAGGGAGAGAGAGAGAAGCATCCATGATGAGAGAATCACGGACCGGCTGCCTCCTGCACGCCCCCTACTGGGGATGGAGCCCACAACCCAAGCCTGTGCCCTGACCGGAATGAACCGTGACCTCCTGGTTCCTAGGTCAATGCTCAGCCCCTGAGCCCCATCCGCTGGGCTCTGCCCCTTTTGCAGGAGCACGGTCTGAGGTCAGAGAGGCCTGGGCCCCGGCTTTCGTCCTGTCCCGTTGAGATCTCCGCTCGTTCCAGCTCAGCCGGCCGGGGAGAGCCTCCGGGGCCCGCAGACAGCCATCTGCCCGGCCCGGCCCCGCCGGGAGCCGTGAGAAGCACATCCTGGCTCGGAAGCTGCCAGGGCGTTACTAATGGGCTGTCGGTTGCAATTAGGGCAGCGGGCTTTCATC